GATCGAATCGACTTTTGTCGATCGAAACGACCTTCGATCGAAACAACCTTCGCTTGTTTGCAATGACATGAACTAGACTTTAGATCTCATGCATATTTTTATTTATTTACTGTGTACCGGAGTGGAACATTACACGTGGTGTGAATCAACCTACGTGAATCAAGAACAACTTGTTTGCAATGACATGACTGAAAAATAGTTAAACTTTTGACCTAAGGACAGATAACAAAAGTGTCATCATTGAAAATTTACGAACTGGAGCCGACTTAACCCGAGTCTAAGATCGCGTCACCGAACAGAAAAATCCCTAAGGACAGATAACAATAGCTTCATTGTCTTAAAAAATCCGAACCAAAACAATAGGCAAAGTTTGAAAACACTAGCGTGTTCAATTGTTGTGAAGCATCTTGGGATAAAGTCGCTAGACACTTTAATCTTCCTAATCATTCTAAACAGCATATGGCAGTTTGTGGCCTTTCCTTACATCTAGGCAATTCGGAAAGCCGTAAAACACTAGAACAAAAATTTATCTTCCAAATCGGCACCCTTAATCCCCACAGAATCAACGAGCGCTTTTCATTCAACTAATTTATTCCTTTTTTTCTCGTCACCATCACCACCAATGGCATACCCCACTTTCAACATATAAACCCACACACAACCCACAATTCCTCCAATCGCTCTGACGAAGGGCTAACGCTCGAAACAAAAGTTTTTGTACCCTTTACAGTGGCTAATTTACGTTTTCAACTCAGCTGTTAACACTGAATTACCTTAAATAATCATAACTGTCTGACTTGTTTACTATTTGTGCGTGTGTGTGAGAAAATTTCCGATTGCTTCAGTAACCTTTGCAATGTCATATAGAAGTTTATTAGTTAGGACGATTATCTTGGCAGCAGTGAAAATTCTTTGCGTATTAAAGCGACTTGATTTTGTAACTTTTTCTTAATTAAAAATATCCTCTTCTTTTTCAGTTGGAAAATTTCTCGTAATACCGTGCAAAACCAAGAGTTAAATCAACGTTGTAAGCCTCCGAGGTGGGACATCGGTTCCTTTGAAAATTAGCGAAAATTTGGCAATTTGCAAAACTTTGGCAAGTTTTTCAAATACGGGGTCGCACTTTTTTTTCGCTACTTTTTAACAATTTTTTTCTTAAACAAACAAAAAAACTGTGGTACGACTCGGGCCTAACTGTAGAAATTCTCTCTCCCATTGGTCGAGAACTATTGTCAATAAGGTTAGAGACAATGAAAATGACGTTCCATGTAATACAACCCTCGTCACGTCGGAGAAAAAAATAATCTTGTAAAAACAATTGGAAAATTTAAAAAATGCAAATGTTCAAAACTTTGAAATGAAACCACTCGACTGCGTCAAGGCTAAGTGAATCATTAACGTCTCTATAAGGTTATAGACAATAGAAAATTATGATCAATATGTTAAACATATTTGGATAAGGTCACTGTTATCTTACCAACCACGCTGGTCTTTGTCGTACTCAGCTCAGTAAATCCTGATATTTTACTGTTATAAACTGAGGAAATTTACGGTGTGGAAGAATGGGAGTATTCAAATCCAACCAACTCACTACAACTGCTTCTGTCATTGGTAAGCTGTTCATCCTTCGTGTATCAAAACATCCTAATTTCCCAGAGAGCGACACACCTAAATCATTTTTCCCGCCTTCAAGTTAAGTTCTTTTAATTTTGATTTTCCTTTATGTTTTTAGCCTATAAATCTTTGTGACAATGTGACAAGGATCGAACAGCGCTAGCTCGCTTATAGATTTGAAAGGGCGTTCGCAAACCCATTCGAAACTGCATACATCCTGCTCAACTTTAGCAAGGAGTCAAGAGTACTATTGTTAACCTGATAGCATTTGAATTGAATTAAATCCTTTTAGCCAGTTTCATTTTGATTAGCTGGGTCTAATAAGTCCTCATAAACTGTAAAAAATACACGGAGGTCCATTCACATATGAAATCAATTAGAGAAAGAAATACTTGTTTTAGGAGCATCCAGAAACAACGCAGCCGAGAAATTATGGCCTCAGGGCGATTGTTATGCAAACGCTGAGCTTCCCTTACGCTCCACCTAATGAAAATGGTTGTTTAGTATCTTGCCTTCATTTGGGGAAGCAAATTTTAGTTTCGAACTCATTTGCATTTCATTTTGTGTTTTATTTTATCTCCGGTTATTTTTTCCTCTTAGTTTATTTTTTCTCTTTTGCGATCAAAACTCTGTCTCGTTCCAATCTCTTCTAGACAAGAGAAAATAATGTCCCAATTGTTTTATCTTGCTTCTCGCCAGGGTTCTTGCAGCGTCATTAAAAAAAAGTGCAAACAAAAACCATTCTGTATGGCCACCTCCTGCATTTTTAAAGATTAGTTTATGTCTCATTAATTTTTTCTTGTTTCAGTTTTATTACTATTCTTTGGAAAAGGACAATGCGATTCAAGTAAGTTTGAAACCCTTATTGTTTCGGTATAAAATGCGAATTCATTGTAAATGTATTCAGTTTACAATATACTTGTTATTGGTTCCAATATCAACAGTTCTTCAATCCAACAAACGCGTTTTTAGTGATTGTAATTAATAGCAGAAAGATATTGACCACAACCTTAATACCTACTCTCCGATCGATGATATTCACAAGTTTTTGGCACTGATCGCGAGTCCAAAGTTAATGCAAACTCGAGTGTAAAGTTCAAGCAGGTACAACGCGACGTCACACTGTACTAAACAAGGCCTTTAAGAGTATAAGGTGAACGCACGCACACGGCACGTTATAACACGCTCGCACGCGAACGTCATGACATGCTTACCGTGCAGATATGCGCATAAAAACAATTGATTTTGGAAAGCGTGTTGTAGCCATTGTTCATATCTGGAGCTTTGTTTCTATAACACGTTAGATCGTTTTGTTTTTTTTTCTAACACGCTAAGTTCCTTTGTTCCCTAACACGCTAGCTTATCTTGTACAACCCAGCTTACTTTGTTACTTGTGTTTGTCAGCTTCTTAATAAATTATTGTGAGATTGGTGTTTGTAAAGGTTATTACCTATAGAATATAAGCGAAAATGAAGAAGATCTTCTGTTCTATCCGAAAGTTGTGATAAAAAAGGAAACATTTACGGCAAATCACGGCTCTTTCCTTCAGGATTTTCACAAGGAATTCAGCGAGCACGACGTGTTTCGCAAGGTCCAGGGGAGCTCACATGAAACTTTATTCTAACCTTGTAAAATATAAATCCTTATCGCTTCACGAAGTTAATAAGCCCAGTACCGAATCTTTGTGAATCCTTTAGCAAAGAATTTTCGGCTCCATGTCCCCTACGCGGTCGCTGTTCGTTACTCTATGCAAACCAGCATTTTTAAAATAAATAACCGTTAGCTAGCCGGCGTAAACCAAAGCTTTCCAAGCGAAGCTGAGTATTATCTGTTGTACGCCGATTTTGGCATCTTACGAGCTAAGAGGCGTGTTATAAAATTGGCACGGTCACGGTGTTATATCGTGTAAATTTGCGAGCAAGATCTTAACACGTTTCTTTGTTTCTATCGTGCGAAGCAAGACAATGGCTACAAAGTTAATGAGGCCAGTAACTTACACGCAACTAACGTGTGAAAAGCTCGTTCTTTTGTTTTAGCGTGCTAGTGTACCGTGAGCGTGCGTTTACCTTATTCCCTGAAATCCCGCGGAGGGTCACAATTAATAAATTTCAAAGCTTAAGCTATTCCATTTGAAAGGGGAATCGCCTGCACAAGTAGATTTTAAAAATCATGTTTAGAGTTTAATGCGTGCTGGGCATACAATGCACAGTTCACATTTTCATCTGTACACCTACACCTTCAAAAACTAGTTGAGGCTCCATCTACTTTGCTTGACAGACTTAGGAACATTTAGCAGTGGAAATGCCACCCAACCAGAGTCGTTCAGACTGGAAATATGTCAAAATTTGTTTTTTCGGGTGTAGACTGTCTGATGTTTGACAATTCTAATAATGATGCTGCCGATGTTTATGAAGCACAGTGCAGTATTTTTAAGAAAATGGAGCACATCCTTATTCAGAAAATGGGCGACATCGGGTAATTACCCTGATTTCATCAAGCTGTTACCTAAAAATCTGCCATCCAACGTGTTCATAACAATAAATCAAACAATGAATAATTGTGTAATTTAGTTTTGTCAACTGAGTTGATAACGTAAATTGGCCACCGTAAAGACTTTAAAAGCTGACGTTTCGGGCGTCAGCCTTTCGTGAGAGCGATAGACGGAGGGCCAACGTTCGAAACGTCAGCTTTTAAACTCTTTACAGAGGTCAATTTACGTTATCAAGTCAGTTGATAATACTTAATTACCCTGTTATACTTTACCACCGAAACAGCACCACAGTTTCTTTAGAAACTTACCCCCTTTATTCATTAATGAATAATTCTACTCAGGACACAAAGTAAATCACGAAATGAGCAGCATGAGTACTTTGCTCTTTACTAGATTGCATATCATCTGATACACGAGCAATGGGCTTGTATGGGTTTCTCCTGTTTTCCTTCTTCTGCATTTCCCTTTTTCGGTTTCCTATTCCCTATCTGAGATATAATGCCCTGACTTGTGCTCGAAATGCCACTTGCCGTGCAGCCTGAATGTAATTTCTTGTAGGGAGGTATGGACAGACGGGATGGACTATTTGGTCATGACTTCAAAACCCAAATTTTATTCGCTTGATAAGCCACCCGATTTCCTTGGATATAAGGCTCCGCTGAGGGAATTAAGTGCGCTCTAGCTCTATTTCGCACCAGCTACGAGTCGATAAAGGCTCGAGTTACTTAGATTCAAATGTATCAGTGATAAAATAATCTATCTCTCGGGGAAGCTAGTAACTTGCCACTCTACTAAAGTGTTCGAGTGACTCCCTCGTATCAGGATCATCTCTAATGGGTTCTCTCAATTTGGTAAGATATGAAGTCAATATTTCAACTTACTCTTTGTCTTCACAATAGTTTGTCCCAATGGCATAACGAACATCACAGCTCCCAGTGGTGAGCTTGTATATCCTGAGTCAGGTACTTATGGTAAGAATGAGACCAAATGTTGGAGGATTACGGTTCCCGACACTTATTATGGCATTCAGTATCGTATTTCCAGGTAAGTTTCCATGTATAACACTCGTCAGTAACATGCAAACTCTGAAGCTCACATTTCATTTCGATTTCATTTCAAGCTGCCGTCAATCAATATCTTAACGGATATTAAAAAGCAGAGACAAACAAAATCACAAAGTCATTCCGTAACAACTCAGAAAATTACCTTTGAACCCTCTGAAATATAGTAGTAGTTCCCAAGAGGATTTAAAAATGATCGCCGGCGGAATTAAGCGAATTCTTCAGATGGTGCATCTCCAACCTCGTAGCTTGCATGATCTTAAAAAGAGCGAGAGCAGTGTCAACCACTTTGAAGAAAGAATATTGGAAAAATGCCGCATTATGATGTTATGATAATGACCGAGCGGCTCGAGCCACGGCATTTTTTTTCGAAAGCTGCTTGGTCAGCGTGTTTTCTTTCCTTCTAATTACGATATCAAATCAGAAAAAGAGGACGAGACTGAAAAGATACTTGCACGGCAAAAAAACAAGCGTTCACCGTACGGAATTGCACGGCAAAAAAACAAGCGTTCACCGTACGGAATTGGTGGATGAAACTGCAAATGACTGAGGTGTAACACTCAAGTAACGAGGGCAATTACCAGATTGCCTTTCGTATTTATTTTGATGTTATGATCATGACCGATAATTGTGTTGATAATCATCTTCAATATAATTATGAATATCTTACACTCATTCGGAAATTGTTGGATATCCTTGCAAATTAAACTGCTTTCCTCTCATTGGTACGACGATTTAATCACGAATTGCACCTTTTTTGCTCTTAATCGCATCTTTTCCAAAGCCAACGAGAAAGCAGTATTGGATCAATATAATATTTTCGCAGACTAACTGGAAAATCCTGTATTTGAGCGACTGAATTTTGCGTTTTGAAAATGGATTTAATAAAGTGGTTACTGAACTCTGTGTGATGCAATTTTTGTCTGAAATCATACTTTTGACTACCAATGAAACTCGCTCTGCGCGCCTGTTCGATTTTGAAATCACGCGTATAATTTCAGACCAAATTTCACTTCACTCATTTCAATTATACCAGTAATCAATCAATCCTGTAACGGGACTTTTAAGGCCCAACACAGTCAGACTAAGGATAAAAATATTGTAAATATATTTAAAGTAGTTTATCTTTTCCAGTAGATCAATCTTTACTTTCTCCTTAAGGTTGGTAAGAAGCAAAAAGCAGTTATATCGGTTTGTGATAATTTTCCCAGGCTTGAGGTAGAAATGTGCTCTGATTGTAAGTGCGACTCTCTTCAAAGAGGAACTATCTACAGCAATTTGCACCAGGAGTTAAAATTCTGTGGACGAAATAGTTACAACTATGTAGGAGGATATATCTCCATTAACTACTGGCGACGTGATTATACCGTCGGATCGACGGGCTATTTTCGCTTCGTGTCGGATGATACTGCACATTATACAGGATTTAAGTTGACCTTCATAGCCAAGTCCAGGTCAGGTGGGTAATAACTATACAATGAGGGTCTCAATAGGGTGATGGCTTCTACAGCCAATGGTTAAAGTTTTATCAGCCATGGAGCACAAGGCAGACTACCTCTCCTGCAAAATAGAATACCACCAAGATGAGAAAGACAAGCCCTTTCCAGTCTCAGAGAAAGCTCTAGTTGACCGTGGGCTGAAAAAATCCCGCCCTCCTTACCCCGGCTGACCTTAAGTTACAGCCATTTGCAACCCACCCTTGAATGGGCCTGTAACTGGGCTGCATGTAGGTGCTGACTTGACCTTAATTTCTCTGCATTTCTATTGGCTAGACTGGCTGGAGGGCGGGCGATGTCTTGGCCCACTGACTGAGCAGTTGTCAGGCATGAGCCTGACGGCCGTCTGGCAAAACAGTACTTTGTCAAAATAAGCTAAGAAGCTCTTTTTAGCCCACGGGCAAACTACAATTTGAGACTGAGGAGTCCCAAACCTACCCTCCCTACCCCTGGGCTTTGGACACACAACTGCCACTGACCCACCCTGCTTACCATTGCTGGTCTAGACATTAAGCTCGCCCCCCCTCCATTTACAACGGCTAGAGCCGGCATATATTTGCAACCCCTCCTAAGCTTGCTGCTTTATACTCTCCACCACCCTCTAACCACAGGTTATTTACCCACAAGCTTAACTGTGTCAAGGTATGAGCCTGACAATCAATGTTGCTACACACGGACATATTGTTTCAAATCAAAGCAGACGTATTCTCTTGATAACTTTTAATGATTTCGTTAATTTTTCATGCGGTAACAGACTACTTTCATTTTGCAGCGGGTGGCATAAACTATCTGAATGCAACCGAAGATGAAACTATTGAGTTTGGCACACCAAAAGTCGACATTGAGAACTACCCCTCAAGTTACGCAGAACAGTGGATTTTAATCGTCCCTGAGGGACGGAATGTCCAGATAGACTTTGATATATTTGAGCTGGAAGACAGTGAGGGTTGTAAAAACGATTATGTTGAGTTCCGTGAAGCATCCATCGTGGCTAGTGGTTCCAATGGCGATATTGGTCCAATCCTGACAGGACGCCTGTGTGGAAATACAAAGCCAAACTCGATACTGAGTCAAGGGAACATGGTTTGGGTTCAGTTCCTGAGTGACAGTAATTCCACTACTGTAAACAAGGGATTCAAAGCTTCTTTCAAAGCAGGTGTGTTATATCGATGAGTTTTTTTTATGTCTATCTTTAGTAACGCGGCACGAAGGTTTTTTTACATCTTTTCCTTTGGAAAGTAGAGCTCATTCAACTCATAGTAGATAAGCTCGGTGTTTTACAACTTGACATGATCGCCGCAGGACAATGTTTGGGTTTTTCTGTTTGTTTGTTTTGAATTTTATTTTTGATTTGTTTTTTATACACAGCAAACGTTTTTCCTCTATCTAGTCAACTAACCACAAAAAAGGCATGGTTTGTATATTGTCTTTACATCTATCTTTCTATCTTTCAGGACGGGGAAGCGGATTGCCTGTAAGCCGTCCAATGATGCTTTTTCATTTCTTAGCTTTGATCATGCATGTGTCAAAGAACAACTTGTTCTAGTCCTATAGAGTGTACCCAGGAGACGTCTTTAGATCGCTGAAGTTTTGAATCACATGCATTTAGCTTAACTCTGATGTGGACTTAAAAGTTATAATATCAAGGATTTTAGTGTGAAGTTTATTCCCGGGAATCTTTCTTTTAGATCATTTTTAGCTGTTAGCAGATCGAATTTATCTGCGTATTGTGGTTTTTTTTTTAGCGTTAAAAAGTTTTTCGGATCACTTTTATAGCTAAATCAGTTTCATTTGTATGCATAAATTTAGTACAAGATAAACGAAATGTAACCGGTGTGAAAGCCCTTAGACTTGAAAAAGCTTGAAAAACATAATGTGCATCTTAAAAGTAATTTAGTATATATGCGTTATTGGCCAAGCGTGAGGACAAGATGGCAGGACATTGTCATAGTTTTTTTTTCTTTTTTGCATTCTTGTGGCTGGGACGAAGTCAAGCTGCATAAAAAAGCAAAAGCGGGGCTAAACAAAACAAAACGGGGCTAACATTCAGCCATCTTGACCCAACAAGCTTGGTAAATCAAGGATTTATCATATAACAAACATGTATCCCTAGTAAGAATCAATAGTGACTTATCACTTTACGTTCTAGTCTTGATATTTTCAGGTTTTTATAGCACAATAAAAGGCTCACGAAACTCGTTCATCCTCTCTTTGTTCTGACAGTCATATGCCGCTTTTTAAGACTCCATTGCTGACATTGTCCTAAAATCACAAAAACTGTAAATCCTCGAAGCAATTTATTTCCGCTCGGGCAATCCCGATTGGGCAAGATAGGTCGATCTTCCTCGCTCAGGTAGTCAGTTAGAACAAAGGATTCGCTTCCTCTTTCCCACGAGCGCTGCTAGCTAGCACGTGTGCTCTCTCTTCCCCTTTCCCCACCTTTCCCCCATTCCCGCACTTAAAAGGAGAGAAAAAAAGAAAAATTTAACTACAGAATATTTTTTTGTAGTTTTCTAATAATGTGCGCCCTTCTTTTGTATGTAAGTAACTTTTTTTTAATGAGATTACCAAATAATAGAAGTTTCGAACGACTTTCTGGAACTTCCCTTGAATTTTCACCTTGAATCACTGCTTCGTAAAGGTATAAAAATTCAATGACCAGTCAAGATATCCAACTGCATATGAAGTTTTGCTATATGTGGAAGAATGCTTCGAATAAGCGCTACACCGGAACAGGGGCGCGGATATTAACTGAACAAACAACTAACAAGGAAACGAAAAAAAGGCCATTAATCAAACAAGAAGATAAGCAAAACACAAGTTTTGGGGTAAATTTCCTGGAAAACTACTGTGAAACGACAAAATGTCGTTTTGGATGATACTTTTACAAAGTCCGATCGCGAAAATGCTGAGAAAAAAAAATGGCAACTTTCGGAAAAAGTTAAACCACCAAAGAATCTTTGTCTATTTCTTTTAATTTAACGAGGAAAGTCTATGACCAGCCCTTGACTATATCTAATAGACCCAGTTTTTTACTGTCTTATGTCCAAACAATGAAAGCGGATCATTGGCAAACTTACTCCCTATCAGTTGGTAAACATTGCAGCTATAGAGCAGACAGAGGTACATGAACTAAAGCAAGATGAGCAGAGAGCAATCGGGAAAGAAGCCCGAGGTCATAGCCCATTTAGCAGATTTGACCCAACAAAACTAAGATTAGCAACGAAGTTGAGGCTTAACAGTTCAAATAAAGGGGAAGAGTACAATGAAACGATATATCTTGCTTTTGCTTCTTTTTTCCTTTTTGTTTTGTTTTTGTTATTGTTGTTTTCCCATTGGAAGAGGCTAGAAGGGAACGTACAATTTTCCATCCGGACAATTCGCATCGTTTTCCGGCATTCAGTTTACACGGAAACTTTACTATCAGCCTCAACTAGATGAACTCGACTTAGTCAAAAATATGCTCAATCTTTAATTCCTCCAGCCACATCAAGCCCTTTTTGTTTATTCGATGAGTTGAAGAACCCAAGAGCCACCCGCAAGTGGTCATTTGCCATGTTCTCACAATAATTACGCGCCTCATCTCCGGACGATTCGCCCCTCTACCATATGCATTTTAATGGTACTATAAAACCTTCATCCATTGTATTACTTGCAAGTTTTGATAGCTAAGTTAGTCGCGCAAGCAAATTAACATGTAATGGAGCGAGTCTTCATTAAGATCGAGGGCGTGTCGAATGGGGTGAATTTTTCTTAATATTCCGTTTTTAAAATTCTGTTTTCATAACATTCTGGTTTCTTTTTTGTCATCAAATATATAACCTTTATTGATTTCGTTTTATTCTTCATGTAGTAACAGACTTATTTTATTTTGCAGGGGGTAAAGCAAATTATCTGAATGCAAGCGAAGAAAAAACTATTGAGTTTGGCACACCAAAAGTCGACCTTGAGAGCTACCCCTTAGATTACGCAGAATAGTGGATTTTAATCGTCCCTTAGGGACGGAAGGTCCAGATAGACTTCGATATAAACGATTATGTTGAGTTCGCTCAGGCATCTATCATAGTTAGTGATCGTAAATCAATACTTGACCATTTTTGTCCAATCCTGACCGTTTGGCTTTGTATTTCCACAGGCGTCCTCAGGACGCTCGTGGAAATACAAATTTTAAAAGGATGCGAACTACGAGGTTGGAGATACACCATCTAAAAATTCGCTTAATCCCGCCGGCAATCGTGTTTAAATCCTCTCAACTCGATACTGAGTCAAGGGAACATGGTTTGGGTTCAGGTTATGAGTGACAGAAACTCTACCACTGTGAACAAGGGACTAAAAGCTTCTTTTTAAAGCAGGAGTGTTATAACAATAAGGTGTGTTAAGTTTGTCTTTCGTAATATGGCACTGAAGTTCTTTTACATCTTTCTCCGTCAGAAGGTATACCTTGTCACGATCGCAACAAAGACTGTTTTTTTCTGTTTTTCGTAAAACAACTTACTTTTTCACTATAGTTAGTCCATTAGCCATGGAAATAAATGACTCATGAATTGTCCTCAAATCTATCTTTTTTATTGTACCAGGACAAGGGGATTATTTGTCGGCTGTTCATTAACGCTTCTGTTCTTCCCCGCTTTGATCTTGCTCGTGTCGAATTACAACTTGTTTTATTTCCGACAGGTGAATCCAGACGAAGTTTTCAGTTCGCTGAAGTTTTGAATCCTTTACTGTTAGCTTAACACTGATTATGAATTGAAAACTTTCAAGAACACAAAGGAGCATTTTGTCAGTGTACTTTTGTTAGATCATTGCTTTCTTAATGTCAAGAGAGTTTATCCTCTCTTGTTGAAATAAATCGATTTTCTTTTATATGTGTTGTCAGTAAACTACAAAAGTGATTCGAAATAGTTTGATTGAAAACTTCAAATTAAACCTAACTCAAAGAAGAAATGTCATTCTAATTAAAGTCAACTGTTAAACATCAAAGTCGAATAATTTTTTTTAAAAAGGTCAACCATCAAAGCTATCCCCACACTAAGAAACTCTGAATAATGAAATTGTAGTCCCACTTTTAGTAAGTCTTAAGACCACGAGATAAAAAATTCGCACCCTATTGTTACGACACCTACCCGTTCGGGCGAATCAAGGAGTGTCTTTCCCCTCCCCCCAACCCTCACCTACTCCCGGGAGAAGGCATAAAATATGCCAATGGTCACCTCAGAAAAGTACTTAGACATCTTTGATATGAACCAGCCTCGCTTTAAACCATAATTAGCTAGGAGACTTGTTCACAAACATTTGGAAGCAACTTCCGCGTATTGTGAGATTCTGAAGAAAATACCATCCACTATCTCTTAACTGTGAGATGAAACACCTATCATCTGTCTTTATTCCTGATTTTCACCCAGTGAAACCCGGTTTTAATTAAACTTGTCTTGTTGGTATGAATGGGAGCCAGCCAGAAGATTCGCCGCGAGCCACAACATTTTCATGAGGCATCCCATCAACCAAAATGAAAGAAAAGTCACTCAAGGCACAGAGTCGCCTGACATGAACAAACCACTCGACTAGCCCTTCTCACTCTCAGCTACGTTTATTCTAATCAGAAAATTTACAAGTTTTACCCTTTTTTAGTCCTGGCTTTGTTTTCGCATTTAGCCTAGTGCATTCTTCTCCTTATTTCATGTTTTATGACATAAGGGGATAAAGTCCTCTCTTGCTCATGATGATAAATTAACTCATATATTTTCCAAAAATAAAGGACTTTAACGAGATTGTAAACAAAGTTGAGTTGAAATAGGATCTCCCGGTGAAACTGTTTGCCGCGCAAAGGCCGCTAGAGACTTCACGTCTAATAGTGATCGAGACGCTTTACTGACGTTTTCACGAAAGAACAATTTTCTCAATTATTTGCGCGCTTTTTAAGATTTCGACTTAAAAAAAAAAAGAAAAAAATTCGGCCAGCCCGCGGCTGTTTAGAGTAATCTCAACATCACAGCAATTTTCAGAGTTCTAACGAAGCCCAGTCGTAAATACCATTATTAAACAAATTTCTGCGGTCATGTTAAGCTACCAGTATCAGAGGTATTGGGAATGTGTCTTAATCCCGATTTTTTTTCTTAGCTTAGCCATTCATTTTTACTGTGAAGAATCTCTTCAATCAAAATACAATGGGGTAATGTGGAAATGATTCGTTAAAAACAATTATTGAATAAATAGAATAACACTGAAAAACCTCTTATGTCAAAGTCTGGCAATTTTCATTGCTGCCTCAGTTTAATCTTAGAAACAAATGTAGGAGGTTTTCTATTGAATGGAAATCACACGCACTAAAAGATCATCTTATCGTCACTAGAAGTCGAGTTATGCTCAACTCAAAACTCATTCATTGCAGCCGTTGTGATAGCAGGGTTGGGAAGCGATCCTCTCTACTACGATCTCCTTCTAAGTTGCACGCTACTGAGAAGGTAAGTTAGATGAATGATACCCTCGTTAATTTAAGGGACCTTTAGCAAACTACGAAAGCGGTGGCATGAGGACGTGGCAAAACAATAGATCTAATGGTCAGAACGATAGCTCAGGATGAGCGTTCTAAACCTTTAAAAATTTCTTAGCCGTCCTCTGGCAAAACAGCGACGTGAAAAGTAAAAAAAAAAAATCGTCTGCGAACAGAAACTGCGACGGCATATTAATGAAATTTACCTTTGAAACCGAACACTACTCACATAGGTTATGCTGAAGTTGAGGTGTGGCGCCGTAAAAGACGGTAAACATATGACACCATTCACGACAGAAATTCTAACTTAAAGTAGCAATTCACTTTTTAATCAACATCTTCCTCGGCGTTGCCGTCCCGACAGCTAAAGATCCTTGATATGATTTTTTTCCTGCTGATCTTTTGCCCTTTGGTTGACACTCGCGCTACATGAGGTGGCTTCAATACTTGCAACGGAAGGACAATTTCTCGTTGAAGTCATATGTTGTCCAAATTGCTGCCAGTGTAACCAGACCCAGAGTAAGAGTCACAGACATTTAAATAAAAGCGGCGCTGTCTCAGTGTTTTGGGTATCCCCACACCCTAAACACTAGTGTGTTTGATTGTTGTGAAGCATCTTGGAAAGAGCGTTAATTCAGCAGTTTTAAGTGAATTGCTTCACACGTAAACAGTTCAGCCGATCGATTTAAGACACGCGAGGAATAGATATTTTTGCACTGGTTGGAATTTCGCCTTTTAGACTGAAATGACCGACCAACTTTTTGATTAGTCTGTGAGCAGTCATAACTGTCTGACTTATTCACCATGTAAGCGCGTGTGTTTGGGAAATTTTCCTATTTCTTCAGTGACCTTTGCAATGTCATTAGAATTTTACTACGAATTAGGACAAGTATCTTGGTAGCCGTGAATCTCTAGGATATGAAAAACTCTTTGAGTAATAAAGCGACTTAATTTTGTAACTTTGTTTATTAAAATATCCTCTTCGTTTTCAGTGGAAAAATTCTCGTAGGGTTAAACGGTTACAACATGAATGTTTGTTTTACCAAAATTTGGAAACATCGGTTCGTTTGAAGATTAGCGGAAATTTGGGGATTTGCAAAAATCTGACAAGTTTTTCAAATAGGAAGTCGCATTTATTTTTCGCTACTTTCTAACAATTTTTTTCTTAAACAAACAAATGAAGCTCTGGTGCGACTCGGGCCTAATTGTAGACATTCTCGCGCGCTCATTGGTCGAGAACAATTGTTAATAAGGTTATAGACAATGAAAATGACGTTCCGTGTAATGCAACATTTATCTCGAAAAAACAAATGCAAAATTGAAAATATGCAAATATTCAAAACTTTGAAATGAAACCACTCAGCTGCACCTCGTGGTTAAGTTGATCGTTGACGTCATTTCTAGGATCAATAAGGTTATAGACAATGGAAAGTTGTGTTCAATATGTTAAACATCTTTCGATAAGGTTTCTGTTATTTTACCAACCACGCAAGCCTTTGTTATACTCAGCTCAGTGAATCCTGATATTTTACTGTTATAGACTGAAAGAAATTTACTGTGTGGAAGAATGGGAGTATTTAAATCTAATCAACTCATTACAGCTGCTTCTGTCATTGGTAAGTTGTTCATCCCTCGTATATCAAAGCATCCTAATTTCTCAGAGGGCGACACACCAGTATCATTTTTCCCGCTTTTAAGTTGTTCTTTTGATTTTCATGTCCTTTATGTCGTTTAGCCTTTAAAACTTTTGTGACATTGTTGAGAGGGTCTAATAGCGCGCTTATGGATTTGACGGGGCGTTCGTAAACCCCGTTCAAAACTGCGTAAATCCTGCGTAACCTTGGCAAGGAGTCAGAGTACTTTCGTTAACCTGGCCGTATTTGAAGTGAATTAGATCTCTTTGGCTTATTTCATTTTGATAAGCTGGGTCTTTTAAGTCCTAATAACCTGTACAAAATAATTCACTAATGAAGCGGAGGTCCATTCATTAATGAAATCATTAGGAAAATAAAAAAGGTTGTTTTAAAAACATCCAGAAACAGCGCAACCGAGAAATTATGGCCTCAGGGCAATTGTTTTGCAGACGCCGAGCTTCTCATGCGCTGCACCCAATTAGAATGGTTATGTAGTGACTTGCCTTCATTGGAGGAAGCAAATTTTAGTTTCGAATTCATTTGTATTTTATCTTGTGTTTTATTTTATCTTGGGTTATTTTTTTCTCTTAGTCTATTTTTTTTTGTCTCGTCCTATACAAGAGAAAATAATGTCCCATTGTTCTCTGTTGCTTCTCGCCAAGGGTTCTTGCTGCATTATATTAAAAAAAGTACAAGTAAAAACCAGTCTATATGGCCAACTCTTGCATCTTTTTTCAGTCAAATGGCTGATGAATTTTTTCTTGTTTCAGTTCTATTACTATTGTTTGAAAAAGGACAATGCGATTCAAGTAAGTTTCAACCCTAACTGTTTCGGTATTAGTTTTATTACTATTCATTGAAAAAGGACAATGCAGTTCAAGTAAGTTTTAACCCTAACTGTTTGGGTATAAAATACAAATTCATTTTAAATGTATTCAGTTTATAATATACTTGTTGTTGAGTCCAATATCAACTGTTCCTCAACTCCGCGAACATTTTCAATTCAATTTAAGTTCAAGCATGTACAACGCGACGTCACACTATACTAAACAAGGCCTTCAGCAATTGATAAATTGCAAGGCTTAAGCTATTCCATTTGAAGAGCGGAATCACCTGCATATGTACTCTCTCACCGACATTTAGATTTGAAAATCATGTCTAGAATTCTATGGGTGCTGGGCATACAATGCACATGTTCATGTTTTCATCTGTGCACCTACATATTTAAACAGTAATTGAGGCTGCATCTACTTTGCTTAACAGACTTAGGAACAATAGTAGAACAATCGAGTTATTCAGATTGAAATGTATCAGTGATAAAAATAACATACCTCTCGGGGAAGTTAGCAACTTGCCACCCTACTTCGAGTGACTCCTTCGTATCAGGATAATCTCCCATGGGTTCTCTCAATTTTGGATGAGATATGAAGTCAACATTAAACTTGCTCTTGGTCTTCATAATAGTTTGTCCTAATGGCATGACGAACATCACAGCTTTCAGTGGTGAGCTTGTATATCCTGAGTCAGGTACTTATGGTAAGAATGAGACTAAATGTTGGAGCATTACGGTTCCTGACACTTATTACGGCATTCGATATCGTTTTTCCAGGTAAGTTTTCCATGTATAACACTCGTCAGTAACATGAAAACTTCGAGGCTCACATTTCATTTCCATTTCATTTGATGCTGCCGTCAATCATCATGTTAATGGACATCTAAAAGCAGAGACAAGCAAAATCACAAAGTCATTTCATAACAACTCAGAAAATAACCTTTAAACTCTCTTAAATATGGTACTAGTTCCTGAGAAGATTTAAACACGATTGCCGGCGGGATTAAGGGAATTTTTTAGATGGTGTATCTCCAACCTCGTAGCTGGCATCCTTTTAAAAGAGCGAAAGCAGTGTCAACCATCTTGACGAAAGAATATTTGAAAAATACAGGAGCCACGCCCTTGTGCATGGTCAGCGTGGGTTTTCTTTCCTTTCCGATTACGATACCAAATCAGAAAAAGAGGACGAGAGTAAAAAAATATTTGGTGGATAAAACTGCAAATGATTGATGTGTAACGCTTCAAGTAAACGGCGCAATTAACGGATTGCCTTTCGTATTTTATTTTGATGTTATGATAATGACTGATAATTGTGTTGATGATCATTAAAACAATTGTCAATCGTCAAAACAATTGTAATTATCTTTATTACACTCATTTGGAAATCATTGGAGATCCTTGCAAACTGCTTGCCTCTTATTGATGCGATTAAATCACGAATTGCATCCTTTTTGAACAAGTAATCACATGATTTCGAGTGCAATTTGGAATAAATAAGCACGAGTAAATTTTTTCAAAGACTAAGAAAATTGCACGAGCCCGTAGGGTGAGTGCAATTTGTAGTCTTTTAAGAAAATTACAAGTGCTTATTTATTCCAAATTGCACGAGAAAAATCATGTGATTACGTAACATAAAATACATGAAAAAATACGAGATGGCTTATCATAATTATGCAGAAGCAAGGCGTGCGTATCAAGTGCAAAAATTAATTTACTCAAACCCTGCAAGTGACATTGTGTGTTTGGTCAAAATAACCGCGCACGATCAAAACAATAATATACAATGATAATTAACATCTTTAAGGCGCAAAAAAATTTAAAGTCCGGCCTAACAACTCTAGGAATTGTTCAGTCTGGTTTGTTACTTCTTTGCACTGAATTAACCCTCTTCTGCATCGAATTACTTGAAAACTGCATTTATCTTAACTAATCAGAACAGAGTAATTTTTTCATGTATCTTATTATGCTCTTAATCACATCCTTTTCTCAGTCAACGAGAAAGCTTTACTAAACCACAACAACCAATAAGGTTTCAATGCTTCTTTAAAGTAACCAATCAAATTTCAGGAAAATGAAAGACAACTTTTGCAACTTTTCACAAACCAGCTCAGTTCTGGATCAATAAGATATTTGTGCAGAATAACTGAAAAATCCAGTATTTGAGCGACTGAATTTTGCGCTTTCACTGAAAATGAATGTAATAAAGCGGTAATTGAACTCTGTGTCGTACTATTTTGGTCTGAAATCATCCTCGTGACTTCAAATGAAACTCGCGCTGCGCACCCGTTCGATGTTGAAATCATGCATATGATTTCAGACCAAATTGCACTTTATTCACTTCAATTATATTAGTAATCAATCAATCCTGTAACGAGACTTTTAAGGCCCAACATGGTTGGACAAAGAATAAAAACATTGTAAATATATTCAAAGTAATTTATCTTCTCCAGTAGATCAATCTTAACTTTGCCCTTAAGGTTGGTAAAAAGTGGAAACAAGTTATATTGGTTTCTGATATTTTTCCCAGGATTGACGTAGAAATGTGCTCTGATTGTAAGTGCGACTATCTTCAAAGAGGAACTACCTACAGGCATATTCACTGGTATTCTAAATTATGTGGACGATATAATTACAACTATTTACAGGGATATCTCTTCAACGTCGACTGGAGCACTGACTTTACCGGCTCTTTTAGAGAATCGACGGCCTATCTTCGCTTCGTGTCGGATGATACTGTACACTACACAGGATTTAAGTTGACCTTCATGGCCATGTCCAGGACAGGTGGGTAATAACTATATAATATAAAGATGGTCTTAATGGGGTAATGGCTTTTATGGCCAGCGGTTAAAATTTTAACAGCCATGGAGTCTTAGCCTAATGGCTGAGGTGTAACAGGGCACAAGCCTGACTACCAATCCTGCAAAATAGAGTGCCATAAAGATGAGTAAGACAAGCCCTTTCCAGTCTCAGAGAAAACTCCAGTCACCCACTAGCTAGCTTAGCTATGACAGGGTATGAACCTGACGATAAATGTTGCTACACACCGGTATTGTTTTTCAAATCAAACCGGACATATTCTCTTGATAACCTTTATTGAGTTTTGGTTATTTTTTCATGTGGCAACAGACTACTTTCATTTTTCAGAAGGTGACATATGCTCAATCTTTAATTCCTTCAGTCACATCAAACCTTTCTTTGTTTACTCGCTGAGTTGAAGAACCCTAAAGCCGACCGCAAGTGGTCATTTACCACTTTCGCACGACATTTACGCCCTAAATCTCCGCACGATTCGCTCCTCTACCATATGCATTGTAATGGTACTATTAAATCTTCATCCACTTTATTACTAGCAAGTTTTGATAGCTAACTTAGTCGGGCAAGTAAATTAACATGAAATGGAGCGAGTCTTCATTGCGATCGAGGGCGTGTTAAATGAGGTGAATTTTCTTGAAATTCCTATCTAAGTATATTGCGGTAAAATAAACTTACTAATGTAGAGTTTTTTTCTGGTTTCTTTGTTTTAATCAAATATGTAACCTTCATTGATTTCGTTTTATTCTTTATGTAGTAACAGACTTATTTCATTTTCCAGCGGGTGACAAAAACTATCTGAATGCTACCGAAGATGAAACTATTGAGTTTGGCACACCAAAGGTCGACGTTGAGAACTACCCCTCAGATTACGCAGAACAGTGGTTTTTAATCGTACCTGAGGGACGGAAGGTCCAGATAGACTTCGAAATATTTGAACTGGAAGACAGCACGGATTGCAAAAACGATTATGTTGAGTTTCGTGAAGCATCCATCATGGCTGGTGATCCTGAAAAAATTTATGGCTATTTTGGTCCAATCCTGACAGGACGCCTGTGTGGAAATACAAAGCCGAACTCGATACTGAGTCAGGGGAATATGGTTTGGGTTCAGTTCGTGAGTGACAGAAACTCTACCACAGTGTACAAGGGACTCAAAGCTTCTTTTAAAGCAGGTGTTTCATAAAGATGAGTTTTGTTAAGTTTGTTTAGTTATGCGGCACGTAAGTTCTTTCACATCTTTTCCTTTGGAAAGTAGAGCTCATTCAACCCTTGGTAAATAATCCCAGTGTTTTATGACTTGACATGATCGCCGCAGGACAATGTTTGAATTTTTTCTGTTTGTTTGTTTGTTTTGAATTTTGTTTTTGTTTTGTTTTTTAGAGACAGCAAATGTTTTCCCTCTAACTAGTCAACTAACCATGAAAATAAATGATTTGTATGTTATCCTTAAATCTATTCTCTATCTTTCTCACTTTTCAGGACAGGGAAGATTGGCTGTAAGCCGTCCAATGATGCTTCTTTTTCTCTCAGCTTTGATAATGTATGTGTCAAAGAACAACCTGTTCTAGTCCTGTCAAGTGGGAATCTTTCTTTTAGGTCATTTTTAGCTCTTAGCGGATCGAATTTATCTGTACGTTGTGGTTTCTTTTTTTCGTGTTAAAAAGTTTTTCAGATCAGTTTTGGAGCTGAGTCGATTTCATTTGTATGCATAATTTTTGTACAAGATAAACGAAATTTAATTGGTATGAAAGCTCTTAGACTTGAAAAGGCTTGAACAACATTATTTGAATCTTTGAAGTAACTAAGTATATATGCGTAATTAGCTAAGAGTGAGGACAAGGTGGCAGGACATTGTCACAGTTTTTTTTCTTTTTTTGCATTTTTATGACTGGGACGGAGTCAAGGTGCATGAAAAGGCAAAAACGGGGCTAAAAAAAGCGACTAAACAAAACAAAACGGGCATAACACCCAGCCATCTTGACCCAACAAGCTTGGTAAATCGAGGATTTATCATATAACAAACATGTATCGCTTTAATAAGAATCAAGAGTGACATATTGCTTTGTGTTCTAATTTTGATATTTTCGGGTTTTATAGCACAATAAAAGGTTCATGAAACTCGCTCATCTTCTCTTTGTTCTGACAGTCATCTGCCGCTTTGGAAGACTCCATTGCTGACCTTGTCATAAAATCACAAACATGGTAAATTCTTGAAGCAATTTTTTCTTGCGCAGGCAATCCCGATTGGGCAAGATGGGTAGATCATACTCGCTCGGTTAGTTAGAAAAAAGAATTGGCTTCCTCTTTCCCACGAGCACTGCTGGCAAGAGCGCGTGCACCCTACCCCCTCCCCTCATCCCCCCCCCATCATCCCACTTAAAAAGAAAAAAATGAAAGTTTTAAAAATATAATATTTTTGGTAGTTTTCGAATAATGTGCACCCTTATTTTGTATGCAAGTAATATTTTTTAGCGGGATTGCCCAAAAATCAAAGTATTCGAACAACTATTTGGAACTTCCCTCGAATTTTCTCCTTGAATCACTGCTTCGAAAAGTACAAAAATATGAATGAAAAGCTATTTATCGCCAAGGGGGTGGGGTACCGGGGAGGGAGTACGAGTGTAGGGTTTCCCTCTTGTATTTCTGAATCTGTGTATTCGAATCCATTTGTATCCAGTTCCCTCATGATATCCAACTGCATATGGAATTTTGCTGTATGCGGAAGAATTCTTCCAATAAGCTCTACACTGGAACAGGTGCGTGAGCAATAACTGAACAAACAACTAACAAGGAAACGAAAAAAAGGCTATCGAACCAACAAGAAAATAGGCAAAAACACAAAATATTGTGATATCGAGATAGTGATAAAAGGTTTTGGAGTAAATTTGCTGGAAAGCTACTGTGAAACTAAAAAATGTCGTTTCGGATGATACTTTTGCAAAGTCCGATCGCGAAAATGCTGGGAAAAAAATGGCAACTGTCTGAAAAAGTTAAATCACATAAGAAAACTTTCTTTGTCTATTTCTACTAATTTATCGAGGATAGTCTATCACCAGCCCTTGACTATGTCTAATAGAACCGGGTTTTTACTGTCTTGCGTCCAAGCATTGAAAAGGGATCATTAGCAAACTTACTCCCGACCAGTTGCTAAACATTGCAGCTATAGAGCAGACGGAGCTACATGAACTAAAGCAAGATGAGAGGAGAGCAATCGGGAAAAACCTAACAGCCCGAGGTCATAGCCTATTTAGCCGATTTGACCCAGCAAAACTAGAATTAGCAACGAAGTTGAGGCTTAATACCTTAAGTTAACGGAAGGGTTCAATGAAACGAGATATTTTTCTTCTGCCTTTTTTTCCGTTTTGTTTTGTTTTTGTTATTGTTGCTTTTCCCATTGGAAGAGGCTAGAAGGGAACGTACAATTTTCCTCTCGGATAATTCGCTCCGTTTTCATTCAGTTCACATGGAAAATTTACTATCAGCCTTAACTAGATGAACTCGACCCATTCACAAATATGCTCAATCTATAATCCTTCCAGCCACATCAAACCTTTTTTGATTATTCCATGAGTTGAAGAACCCGAAAGCCACCCGCAAGTGGTCATTTGCCATGTTCGCACAACAATTGCGCCCCTAATCTCTGGACGATTCGCCCCTCTACCATATGCATTTTAATGGTACTATAAAATCTTCATCCACATTTTTACTAGCAAGTTTTGATAGCTAAGTTGGTCAGGCAAGTAAATAAACGTGAGCGAGGTTTCATTGAGATTGAGGGCGTGTTGAATGGGGTGAATTATCTAAGATTCCGTTCTAAGTATATTGTGGTGAAATAAACTTACTAATATACAGGTTTATTGATTTCGTTTATTCTTTAAGCAGTTACAGAATTATTTTATTTTGCAGCGCGTGAAGCAAATTATCTACCTGCATGCTAAGCATGTACCTTCCCGATGTTTACACTTTATAAAATCATTCTCTACCTTCAATTTCTTACTGTTGCGGTCAAGGTCGGGCAAAAAAAAGACAAGATTGACAATATGAAAATTACATTGAAGTTATTGACTTAAAATGAACTTATTATAATTGAACTTATTGAACTTATATCTTAAAAAAGATATCCTAAGCGAAGATAGCCCTCGACGACTGCTACATAAAAACACTATAAACAGAAAATGCGGAGAAGAAAGGGCGTACCTAAGGTACGGTCTTTAGAAGAGCTACGTGCTGTTCGCATAAGTTACCTGATTATAAATTCAGTGCAGAGGCTGAGAAGTACTATTTGTTTACACCTTAAGTCACCTCTAAGAAAAAGAGGTGTCAAACGTGCCCCTCATGATCAGATTACGCAGTGGTTTTTAATCGTCCCTGAGGGACGGAATGTCCAGATAGACTTTGACATATTTGAACTGGAAGACAGAGGGGATTGCAAAAACGATTATATTCAGTTCCGTAAGGCATCCATCATGGTTGGTGACCCTAAAACAATACATGGCCATTTGGGTCCAATCCTGACAGGAAGCCTGTTTGGAAATACAAAGCCAAACTTGATACTGAGTCAAGGGAACATTGTTTGGGTTCAGTTCACGAGTGACAGAAACTCTACCACAGTGTACAAGGGACTCAAAGCTTCTTTTAAAGCAGGTGTGTTATAACAATAAGGTGTGTTAGGTTTATCTTTTGTAACATGGCACATAAGTTCTTTTACATCTTTCTCCGTCAGAAGGTATACCTCATTCAACTCTTGATTAATGATCAACTTACTGTTTTATTATTTGCCACGATCGCAACAAAGGCTGTTATTTTTCTTACTTATGACAACTTGTTTTTTTTACTATACTTAGTCAATTAGCCATGAAAATAAATGACTAATATATTGTCCTTAAATATATCTTCTTTACTGTACTAGGACAGGGAGGATTGTTTGTCAGCTGTTCATTAACGTTTCTGTTCTTCTCAGCTCTTATCATACTCGTGTCGAAGAACAACTTGTTCCAGTTCCGTCAAGTGAATCCAAGCGAAGTTTTCAGTTCGCTGAAGTTTTGAATCCTTTACTGTTAGCTCAACACTGATTATGAATTGAAAACTTACAAGAACACAGAGAAGCATTTTACCTGTGTATTTTTGTTGGTGTAAACATTTGTTAGATCATTGCTTTCTTTATGTCAAGAGAGTTTATCCTCTCTTGTTTAAATAAATCCATTTTCTTTTAGATGTGTTGTCGGTTTACTTTTAGTCTCTTATACTGAAAAGTGATTCGAAATAGTTTGATTGAAAACTTCAAATTAAACCCAACTCAGAGAAGAAATGTCTTCCTAATAAAAGTCAATTTTCAAACGCCAAAGTCAAATAATTTTTTTAAAAAGGTCAACCATTAAAGCTATCCCCACAATAGGACCCTCTGAATAATGAAATTGTAGTACTACGTCTTTTCACAGGAATAACAGTGATGGTAAAGCAAACTTAAAACGCCAGAAATCGCCAGAAACTATACGACGGACACACAGGATGTGAGTAAGTTTTATTAAATTAACGTGTAAAATGTTCATATTTCGAAATATGTATCGTTGTAAATCGACCATATTTCGTTCCCCATACTTTTCCTTATAACGTGTTCAAATTTTCAACGGTTACTCTCATACCCTAACACCGAATCAGACAACGCGTGACGCCTTCATGAATTGATCGTTGGCTTTTTCTTGAGACGTGAGCTTGGGCCGCCTGTGCTATGAGGCACCTTTGATGTGAACCAGCCTCGCTTTAAACTATAATTAGCTGGGAGACTTGTTCACAAATATTTGGAAGCAACTTATAGTGTCTACTCATTTACGTCTTTTTCTGTACATAAATTCCGCAAAAATTGCATCGTGTTATGAGATTTTGAAGAAAATACCGTCCACAATCTTTCAACTGTGAGAAGAAACACTCTCAGCGAGGTATTTTCTAATCACAAAATTAACAAGTTTTGCACTTTTTCAGTCCTGACTTTTTTTGCGCATTTAGCTGAGTGCATTTTTCTCTTTTTTCATGTTTCATGACATAGGAGGATAAAGTCCCGTCCTGTTCATGATGATAAACTGACTCATGTATTTTCCAAAAAATAAAGGACTCAAACGAGAATGTAAACAAAGTTGAGTTGAAATAGAATCTCCCAGAGAAGCTGTTTGCCGCGCAAAGGCCGCCTGAAAGTTCACGTCTAATAGTGATCGAGACGCTTTATACTTTACTGACGTTTTCACGGAAATACAATTTCCTCAATTATTCGCGAGCGTTTTAAGATTTCGACTTAAATTTTCGAAATTTCGGCCAACCCACGAGGGTTTTTTTTTTACCTTAACATCGCGGTAATTTTCAGAGTTTGAACGAAGCCAAGTCGTAAATACCATTTTGAAACAAATTTCTGCGGTTTTGTCAGTATCAGAAGTATTGGGAATGTGTTTAATCCCGATTTTTTTTTTAGCTTAGCTTTGTCTAGAAGAATCTCCAATCTCCTCACTCAAAACATAACGGAGTAAATGTGAAAATGATTTCTTAAAAACAATTAATGAATAATTAGATTACAACAGAAGAATTATATAAACTCAAAAGCATATAATGTCAAAGTCAATGTTTGTATTTTTTCTATATCTTTGTAAATCATGTCATGTTAAGTTATTTTTTCTGTAAACAGTGTGAAATAATAAAACATGCACGCTACTGAGCAGGTAGGTTATTTTGCGTGCAACGTAGAAGGAGATCGTAGTAGAGAGGATCACTCCCCAACCCTGCTATCACAACGGCTGCAATGAATAAGTTTAGACGTTAAGCCCCCACTCCATTTACAATGGCTGGATCCGGCAGATATTTGCAACCCCTTTCTAAGCCTGCTGCTTTAGACTCTCCACCACCCTCCAACTACAGTGTGTTCACCCACAAGCATAACTGTGACAGAGTATGAACCTGACTATCAATGTTGCTACACACGAGCATTTTTTTTTCAAATCAAATCAGACGTATTCTCTTCATAACTTTTATTGATTTCGTTAATTTTTCATGTGGTAACAGACTACTTCTATTTTGCAGCGGGTAGAGTTAACTATCTGAATGTAACCGAAGATGAAACTATTGAGTTTGGCACACCAAAAGTCGACATTGAGAACTACCCCTCAAATTACGCAGAACAGTGGATTTTAATCGTCCCTTAGGGACGGAAGGTCCAGATAGACTTTGACATATTTGAACTAGAAAACAGTGAGGATTGCAAAAACGATTATGTTGAGTTCCGTGAGGCATCCATCATGGTTGGTGATCCTGAAAGAAAAAATGGCTATTTTGGTCTAATCCTGACCAATCACCTTTGTGGAAATGCAAAGCCAAACTCGATACTGAGTCAAGGGAACATGGTTTGGGTTCAGTTCATGAGTGACAAAAACTCTACTACTGTAAATAAGGGATTCAGAGCTTCTTTTAAAGCAGGTGTGTCTTAAAGATGAGCTTTGTTAAGTTTGTTTAGTAACGCGGCACGTAAGTTCTTTTACATTTTTTCCTTTGGTGAATTCGAGCTCATTCAACTCTCAGTAAATGATCTCAGTGTTTTATGACTTGACATGATCGCTGTAGGATAATGTTTAAGCTTTTTAGTGTGTCTGTGTGTTTGTTTGTTTTGAATTCTGTCTTTGTTTTGTTTTTTTAGAGACAAAAAACGTTTTTTCCTCTATCTAGTCAACTAACCATAAAAAGGAATGATTTGTATTTTGTCGTTAGTCTATCTTTCCATCTTTCTCATTTTTTCAGGAAAGGGAAGCGGATTGCCTGTAAGCCGTCCGATGATGCTTCTTTTTCTCTCAGCTTTGATCATGCATGTGTCAAAGAACAACTTGTTGTATGTCCTGTCAAGTGTTTCCAGGAGATGTCTTTTGTTTGCGGAAGTTTTGAATCATATGCATTTTGGTAAACTCTGAATTTCGACTTAAAAATTTCAATATCAAGGATTCTGAGTATGAAGTTTTGTCCCGGGAATCTTTCTTTTAGATTAAGAGAGACATATCATTTTGTGTTCTATTTTTTTTTTATTTTTAGGTCTTCATGGCACAATTAAAGGCTCACGAAACTTGCTCATCTTCTCTTTGTTTTGACAGTCATCTGCCGCTTTTTAAGACTCTATACGCTGACATTGTCCTAAAATCACAAACATTACAAATCCTCGAAGCAACTCCCGCACTTAAAAAAATAAGTTTTAACTGTAGAATATTTTTGACACTTGCCTGATGCGCGCCCTTCTTTTATATGCAAGTAACATCACTTAAGGAGATAACCTAAGAATCAAAGTATTCGAACAAGTTTTTTGCAACTTCCCTTGTATTTTCTCCACAAATCACTGCTTCGTACAAAGATATTAGTGACCATTTAAAATTTATCGCCGAGAGGGGCAGGGGAGGGGAGGGGAGGGGGTACCCCTCTTGTATGTCAGAATCAAAGCTGTGCATTCGAAATCATTGGTATCCAGTTCCCACAAGATATCCAACTGCATGTGGAGAATTGTTGTATTATGCGAAAGAATTCTTCGAATAACTGCGGCTTAGGAACTTTTCAATGCCAATTGCGGCGCTTATTCCAGTATATATTGTACATTCTTTATTTCTTATTTCTTCCGATCTTGATTTGCTATCAATTTTTTTTGTTTTATGTTTGTTTTGTAAGTTTAAGTCTCGAGGGAAGTAAATTGTTAAACCTTTTTGCTTGGGTTTTTTCCAGTCCCACTTCCACGCGATTTTTACATGTGGTTGAGGTTTTATTAACAGATTAAAAACCACCATCTTGATCTTTGTCTTGTTTTTCTGGACGTTGGGTCGATAATTAACAGGATGCACACGTGCACTTCGATTCTGTAAAAGGTAAAAGTGCGAGTGAAAACTGACTGTGGATATGCCACGGAGACCTCCAAAGAAAGTCCCCCACCCACCCAGCCCATCTCAACTGGGAAGCATTGAATGCTGAAAAAGCCCAAATTTTAAAACTAAACAAAAAAAAAGAGTGCACAGAGAAACTGGAATTTACCTTTTACTTTGATGTGAACTAGTCAAGCATAAACTACAGTTCGTCTCGAGGTTGTACATAACCTCTTGGATTTTACATATAGACCTTTTACACAGATTTTCCAAAAGGTTTCTGAGTGATTTATTACAGCTATTTTCCTCTAGTTTATACCAGAAACATTTGGCCCTGTTCATAACATTTTTATTCTGGTTCAGAGAGCTAAGAAAAATAATGTACTCATATGAAAACTTTGTTTTTTCTCTTGTCTTTGAAAGAAAAAAAATCCGTGCTCGAAGAAGTTTAGTAGCATCTAAAATTGGATAAGGAGAAATATTATTAAATAAGATATATAAAATGTAGTGTGTCTTCCGAAACTTCCATATTTCTTATGCGATCAGTGGGCCCATGTGCGTGTAACTGCCTATGTTTTTACGTGGTTGTTACTTTGTTGTGGTTTTATTATTTTTTTTCATAAAATTTATGTGCTGAAATACAGTACTATAACCTCAGCAGATATTAGGGTACTCTTAAGTGACCAGGACGTCAAAGGAGTGATGTCTAAATTAAGCACTTGACTCTGAAACAAAATAATTTTATATTCTTCACGTTCTGTGTTCTTCAGTAAACATCTTCTTGTGGAAGGTATGAGAGCGAGAATAAATTACAGTTTATGACGTCAGGAGTTTGGTGGATTCTTCATAATGACGAAGGGCATGCCCGTCCAAAAAGTAAAAAATAAAAGACTCGTCTAGATGATTTGCATTTATTAATAAAACCATGAGTTTTGCACAGCACTATCACATGTGACTTTATCGGACAATTTTCAACAGCGTTACTTTTAAACGACTAAAACGTCAATTTTTGACACGCAATACTAATCAGTCTGGTTATCTGGTTGTTGGCGTCGAGCATTTGGAGGCATCATGCGGTTCCGCCACCGTCATTCTCCTCGAGCGCGCGCACGCACCAAAGAAGACGTCAGCTATCTAGCCTGGAACTGACAGAACGCTTAACAAGAAACTCTCCGATTTTTAAGTTGTTGGTATTACGTGTAATACAGATCAACCTTGTACATTCAAGTATAAATTCACGTTAAAAAAACTAAGTAATTTTTATGAAATTGTGCTAGGGAACTGAAAGCGATGGAAAATTCTGAAATCCTGCTTGGTACTCAGTTAATGAAATTACAACACGCTGTTCTTTGATGCGACCACAAGCAAAACGGAGAGGAAGAGCAGAGTAAGGGGCTGGAAACAAATAATCTTCCTTGGCCTGTAAAAGTCAAGACAATGAGAAAAAGTTAGAGTGTAATTCTTTTAACACTTTCTAAGGTGAGTCATTTCTGCTACTGAAGTTCCTGCTCAACACGTCATTAGAGAGTTTCAGATTTATGTTCGGTGTGTTAACCGTAAACATCAAAACGTGGTTAGTGGTTAGAGGTTAGAATTTAGAAGTTTCAAAACCGCTGCAGTTTGGTCACGTGACTCCTAACGGTTTGCAGTACGTCACACGCACTGATTTAGTAAAAAACACGGTTCTAAAGCTCTCTATTGCAATTATTTGACGCTGAGGAAATGGAGCAAGTCGAGTCAAGCGATGAAAACACGGTTCGCATCCTTCTCTAGCTTACTTCCTATTTCAAAAAAGCCGGGAGAATCTAGAAATAGCCGAGTTGGTGACGGAAACTTCTCCCACCTGGAAAACTTTTGCGGTGTCTACTCAATCCTTGGGAAAACATACAAGCCACAAACGTAATATTTACGATTGATATGGCTCGAAAAGGACTCCCCACCTTCAGAATCAACCCTAAATGGGGTCGAAGGGGAGGGGAGGGGGAAGGGGTGGGGGAATTCACTGTCAAAGTTTGATGATGTCTTTAAGAGGTCAGCAGAGGCTGATATGTGACGTTGAGAAACATCTTCTTTTGCAGCCGCGAGAAAGCGAGAATGTACCACAGCGACACTTTAATAGGAGAGCCCTCTTGAAGGCTAACTCCAAAAAGTATCGCAAGCAGTCCCGAGAGAAGTCCCGTCGCCACGAGAGGTTTTTATACTTCACCTGCTTTAAAGGTTGCTTTGAATCCCTTGTACACTGTGGTAGAGTTCCTGTTACTCTTGAACTGAACCCAAACGATGTTCCCTTGACTCTGTATCGAGCTCGGTTTTGTACTTCCACACAGGCGGTTGGTCAGAATTGGACCGTACTCACCAGATATTGATTTAGGATCACCAAGCACAACGTGCGCATCACGGAACTCAACATAGTCATTTTGGCAGTCCGTGCTGTCCTCCAGATTGAACGAGACAAAGTCTATCTGGACCTGCCTTCCTTCAGGAACAATTAAAAACCATTGTTCTTTGTAATTTGAAGGGTAATCATCGGCGCCAGCCTTTGGTGTACCAAACGTAATAGTTTCGTCTTCGGTGGCATTCAGATAGTTTACGTCTCCTTCTGCAAAGTAGATTTAGTTTTTTATTATCAAATTATCCTGTTATTCTTCCCCACCGACGCAGCACAACAGTTTGTTTAGAAACTTACCTCCTTTATTTAGTAGCTTTTTACAGTTTGAAAGTTAGAAAAAATGAAGAAATGCTTGTTTTGGTTTTTTTTATCTTCATTTGAGAAAGTAGTGACCTCTATATTCCCTAACAGAAACTCCTTTCGGTGTTTAAAAGGACTCTACTTAAACATGTTTAAAATACAACAGCAACAACAACAAGAAAACAGAGGAAACGTTGGGAATTTCTTTACATTATTTTCGCGAACGTCTTCAAGTCAGCCCCATAACTTATTGTGCTAGTTCCAATTCTCCTCGCTTGTGTTTAGGAAGTGGACTGTGACCATGAGCTATGGAGGTTTTTACTGTAACTCTTACTCATTCCCACTCTTTTTTCAGCCTGATTATGACACTGCATGTAAGTAGCGGAACCCCAATATTCATTTGCATCGAGCTATTTTGTGCGCGTCAATTATTCATAGCTTCTTGCGCAAATACATTTTTTGTTTCTTGTTGTTGTACAGTATATTTACTTTCATCTTTGTTTGCAGTTGCTCAATTGTGCACTTTTTGGTTAGCTAGTTAGTTAGTGTGATTTTTTTGTAAATTTACTACTCACCAGCGCTGGAGCCAGCAATAAAGGTGAGATTGAATCCACTGTAATGTTCAGTACCATCTGACACGAAACGGATGTAGGCAGTCGATCCCGAAACACTAGAGGCAATCCCACCGCTCCAATCGACGAACCAGAGATACTCGTATAAATAATTGAAACTGTATCGTCCACATGATTTGGATTGCACATCTAAATTATTGTAGGTGACACCACTCTGAAAATGATCACATTTGCAATTCTCGCATCTTTCCAAGTCAAACCTGATAAAAAAATTGCACAAACAGTTAACCTGGCTTCCTTCCCTCACGAATCAACAGGGACCTTAAGCAAACCACGACGGCCACGGCAACGAGGACATGGAAAAACAAAAGATCTAATTGACAGAACAATAGCTTAGCGCGTGCGTTTTAAAACTTTGTACATTTTTTAGCCGTCCCATGCAAAACAACAACGTGAAATCACCACAATTTGCGTCTTCCGCGAACCGAAACTGCGACGGCAAATTATTTTAATTTCCATTTGGAACTCAACGCTTCTTTTATACGTTATGCGGAAGCTGAGGTGTGGCACCGTATGAGACGGTAAACACATGCAGCCATTCTTGAAATTCTAATTAAAGGCAGAAATGTATTTTTTAATCCAAGTCTTCCCTTGCGTTGCCGTCCTGACTGGCCGATGGGGCGATGGGGTTGGGGATAGGGGGGAGGGAAGAGATAGATTTTTGGTTTTCAGGGGAATGAAAGGAAGATGAGTCGTCGAAACAGTATAAAGGGGGAACTGTAAATTGACGGCAATTTATCTGCAGAGTTTAGCTCGTGATCGCTCATTAAACACAACAGGAGTGCCCCATTTTTACCTATTCATCCCAAAAAACAAAGTTCAATTAAAATACAAATTGTTGCTATGTTAAAACACATGCCAATGCATGAGTGGTGTAAAGGCCAGTCTTTGAGTAACTGGTTTTATTCCACTTTATCCGGGCGTTACGGTTCCAAATCTAGACAGCTAGATGCCTCGCCTAATCTTAGACGCTCGTATAGACCCGAAATTAGACAAAATTTCATAAAACACATTTATTAACCAGGTTATTGTTGTAAGTTTTCATACCTCCCGATCAAATTACACGCTCATGAAGCAAATTTACCCCTTAAATGTTCTGCATTATTCTTATGATTCCCCCCCCCCCCCACTGGCAGTCAATTTTATTTAGTCTTCCCTTTATACTCTGTTAGCGACGACTGATTCTCCCTCTGTTGCCCTGAAAACCATGTTATTCTTCCAAAAATCCTCCGAACCACTAAAACTTACCACGCGAAAGTGTCTTATTTGATGAGGCAAAGTCGTCGTGATAGGGAAAATTGGTAGGGGGGGATTTGTAGTTGAGCGACACCTTAGTGACACAATGATGACTATACCTCATCAGCCGTTTTGGTGTGTAGTATCTGCGCACTTTTAAGAGCTGTGCCGTATATTGACGAGCCCGCAGGGTGAGTCAAAATACAAAAGTCGAGTCAAATATTTAGCAATTCCACGCACCAAAACATCTAATAAGCTATTAAGCGAACCAGATAGCGGAACGTCGCAAGCGCAGTCGACCTGTTAAGCAGGTTTTTTTTATAGCACAAAATAACAACCTGTCCAAATTCGCTTGATTCTCGCGTTATTTGTACTCTACTTACTACAGTGGATAATAAATGGAATAATTCAGGTTGTAGAAAGTGATTCCCCGCCCAGCCCCAGTCCGCGCGGTTATCCATATGAGTTTGACTTTCGCGCGGATTATGCAAATGAAAAGCGTGAGCTCGACTTAAAATGCAATCGCGAGTATGTTCTTATGCCAGTCGTCATGTATTTTGTTCTTTCGTTGACTGTTTCCTATTCCCTATGCCATTAGCGTTTTCTATTTGATTTCCAATCTTGTAATTAGTTGTTCCGTCCGTAATGTATTATGTTCGTAACACTTTGTTTAGAAACCACTGGCAATCACGTGTATGCAGAAGAGTTCGATCGAGTCGTCAAGAATTAAACTCCTCTTGAATTTATTGCTGTTGCTTTGGTTCTACAGGTATCTTCACCGAGTAAAGAGGTGCAAGGCGTGCTCGCCTTGTCTGCATCAGATCAAATGTGCACATTCCTCGATAAGCTAACCCTCAAAATATCTGAAGCTTTGAAACTCTATATCGTATTTTTTAAAGGAATGCGACAGGTTGAGAACAGAGGAACCTTTCTTGTCTATTTTCCATAATTTTCTAGGTTTGTTTTGGAGAGTGGAATTTTTTAGCTGGCTACCGACGATATACTTACTTGTAAAAACGAAAACCAATTGCTGCATATGTGTCGGGAACTTCAATTTTCCAACACTTTGTCACATTCACGCCATAATTACCTGACGAGGGATATATGAGGCTGCCGCTAGATGCAGTGATGTTTATTAAACCATTGGGACAAACTGTTTTGCAAAAAAAATGTGGAAACAACGTATTATTCTCTCTAATATTAAATGTTGCCATCTGTTTTGGCAACGTGTAACTGTATCGATAAACGTCATTTACCCCAGCAGGTTTCAGTTAACCTCTGCGCTCGTCAATAAAGGAAAATAATTCTTATCTACATGATGAGAAATACGCACTAAAAGGCGTGAAATAAATTTTCATTCACAGGCCGGTCGAAAAAGCCGCGAGCCAGTCAAATTCGTTGTATAGCATTTTTCAAGCGTGAGGAAAACGATACGTCCAAGCTGGAAGCAAATTGTTAAAAAATTGTAAACAACACACTTGTTATGGATAAGCAAAAAAATAAATCTAATTATCGAGAGACAATTGCGCAATCATGAGGAAATGATCACGTGCTGTAATGAGCAAGACTCTTCCTTGAGTTTCTCGCGGAAAACATGAATGTTGATTGACTAAAATTATATTAATATTCTTGCACAGGTGAAAAGCAGGTGGTCATGCCGGATGTACTCTGACATAAAGTGAGAACGTTCTTTACATATAAGGATCTCTCATCGTGTTGTGTCAAACACTAAAACACTTAGCTTGAGTATTGAAGACGGGACTTACTTGAATCACATGTTCCTTCTTTGAGGAGAAGCGCCAGAACTACGATAGGACGAAAAAAAAGTGACATTACGCGTTAGTAAATTAGAGGTATGTTGTACCATTCGCTTTTATGTTAATCTAGCATTGATAAATGTAAAGCGAGCCAAAAATTGGAATTGCATCCGTTGATTGAGCAGGAGAATGGAGACCAACGCAGGGTCGAAATTGACATAAAACAGTGAAAATCTATACTACTTCCGGAAGGGTTTTTCCTTACGATCACACTAACATTATTCTTTATGTTTAAACGGAAAGATGCAGATAGACCGGCGGTTAGAAAGTTAAGCTAACGTTAACACGATTCTTCACTCTTTGCTCGCAAAGTTCCTTGATAAACTTGTCCTAAAAGCGATACCGCTGTCCTAGTATACTAAATCTTCAGCCCTTAGCCACTTTTTAATTCGATGGCATTCATAACACACCAACGAATTTGCATCTGTTGTTGCTATGTATATGGATGCTGCATGTACACTAATGTCAGAAGATTACCAATAAATTATTGTACAACGCGTTTTGACCTTCATAAACTTGCCTTAATCCAGTCATCAATCAAATTGAAATGGCCAGAATATGTCAAGTTCTATCGCACAACAAAAACACTTAGATAGATATTGTATTGAACTTTGTTCTTAGCACTAAGCTGCATTTACATTTGTAAGCCGTATATTTCAGTTTACTGATATTGAGTGATCACTATTTACTTTAAAGATTCTTCAAGTGCATCGCGGTACCAAACGAACCAACGGCAAATACGAATGAGTCCTGTGTCTTGATGATAATGCCAATCATATGCATCTCACTGCACTGACGCTTTTTAAATGAAAATATTCATTCAATCGTTTATTTTGTTAAGAGTCGCTTCCCAAATTCAAGAGTATTCGTCTCAAGATTTTTCCAGGAAACCGGCTTAGTTCTGATTACTCCCTATCTGAGTCAGGTAACAGCATCGCTGACAGAAATAAAGGTTTATCGCGATCACAGCCCTCTTGTTTCTACGTTAGTCGTGTTGGTTCTACATAAAAAGTACTGACCTGTGAACCTTACTACTCGAACCAAATTCGTCTTCTGTCTTTCTTCCCAAAACACCATGACTTGTAGATAAAAGTGAGTTGAAATTCTCTGCCAAAAATACTGATTCTTCGACTTAGCGTATTTTGCTGTCGACCGGTCGCACAAAAGTGGTGCTCTGAACTAACCGAGTTAATAAAAAGCTTTTTCAGTAACCAAGCAACCAGGAAAAAACATCCCACCTATTTTGGAAACGACAGTAGTTTTGACAGTCCGAACAAAGAGGCGCAAATTATATATTTTTTTATTCAAACGTTATGTATGCATGATGTTACGCACAACAGTAGAGTAGCATGAATAAGACCCCCTTTGGTTAATATTCTGCATTTCAAGCTTCCAATTGTAAACACAACTTGTTTTACGTTAAATAACTGTCGCTAAAATAATCAAGTTTAAGGCTACAATTTTTGTAAAGGTTCTCCGCAGTCCATCACATGTAGCAATAATCAAATTTGAGGCTATATAGCACCGGTTTTTCGTCACCAGGAAAATTGTGTTCCCCGAAAGATTTGTTCAACGACATCTCTACAGTTTTCTCCTAACCGATGGTATGATTTCACACAGCTTCAAACTTCATTATGTTTACAGGTTCTTAGATGGAGGAAACAATACCGGAAACAATACGTCGCTTTTGGGATTACGGTTTGTTTAAGGAAAGTTGGGGGTTACACGGAGATCTTTCCTCAACTAGTTTTCAAATAGCTAAGAGAGTGACAATAAGTAGGAAATGTATCGTTATTTAGCGACGATTATATTTCCGTATTAACCCATAAAAAGCGAATACGAATACTAGATCCTTAAAGAAAAGAATTGTTTTCGCCATTGTGTTCCTCATGAAAGAACTGCATACATAATAAAGTATGAGGTTATACGCAAATCTGTGAGGTACTCGATGTCCAGCCTTATTCGAATAAAAGAAACAACTTTCAATCATTAAAACTACATTTTGAATTATCTCAACAATGGTTTTTCTTAAAGTGCAAGATAATAAGCTTCGTGGCCTCGCTTTTGAGTAAAACATGAAACTTGTTTTACGCATCAGTGACGGGCCCAAGAAGGCTGATTCACATGAAAATGAAAGAATGACATTTGAGCCCGCCACAAAAAAAATAAGTCTCTTAGTGATATTACAACCTTGCGGTTGATTGCATTCATTCGAAACTCTGTTTTTCTTTTTTAAGGACTTGTAGTACTAAAACTGTTGTGTCCCAGTAATTAAGAGAGAACTTATGGGCATATTAGTGTCGCCCTTTCATTTCAACAATGGAGTGTTAAAACAGGCCACTAGGAATGTTAATTACAACCTGATAAACTCTGTGTAGATAACAAAGACTACACCGAACAGAAACAGAGACCGATCTAACTAAGAACTGTTTCTTTCTGTACCATGTTTTGACTTTTTACTCTTACTGATGTCTTCTACGCTGACTGTAAGTTTTTTTCCTTGGATACTGCTTCCGAGAAGTTAATCCTAGAGAAAGGCAGTCATTCATATTTAACTAATGAAGTTTTGTTAGTGCTTGTTTATCTGTTTCTGTTTCCATTAATTTTAATTTGGAAATGCGTAATATTGCAAGTAGCGGTGAAATTGCGGCTGAAAAGTTCCGTAAGGAAAGGGTCCAGACATATTTGAGCATTGAGACTTGCAAAACACTCTTTTTCAGGAACCAAAATTTACAAAGACTAACTTTTCCAATCTCCTCAAACGATATTCTTAACAAAAAAAAACAAAACAAAAAGAAAACAAAACAAAAAGCTGGTGCTGAGCGACTGGGCACGACGATAGTCATACGCGAGGGACTAGTGATGAGTATTCTCATCCTCTCTTTTGCACCAAAAATTTTTTTCTTTTTTTCCATTTTTTTTTCAGTAAAGTAGCCCTGTGCTACGCCGTACAGAAGGCCTACTTTTGGCAGCGTTCTGTCGACCATCACATTACTTGGTTTGCCAGCGAAAGGCAAATTATTACGTAAGTACAAATTTAAAAGCTTAAATGTCCGAAGAAGATATCTAACGAACTAATTTGACAGAGGTTATCGATGGGGCTAACCGTAAGCTGTAAAATGGCAATACAAACAAAAACCAAAAGAAACCAAAATTAGCTGTTAGGCGTAAAAATTGAAAAATTTTAACCGTTAGTCTGAAAAAAGGTAACCGTAAAAATATTCCTTTAATTGCAACGGTAAGAAATTAACCGATAGCCGTACTATGGCCTTTAAACGTCAGCCGAAAAATCCATCATCCTATTAAGAACGTCTTGATAGAGTTCGAATCCAACGTGAAGACTCTCAGATATAAATTTGGGGCAACTGTTAAATGATTTAATCGTTCTTTATTGTTCTTCTTCCTTATTTACCTGTCTTTTTTTTTTTGGCACCATGTTCTGCAATTTCATATATTTGAGATTAATCCTCCCCACTCCCCGGAAAAACCACGAGGATTTGACTGTCGTCTGAGTCCGGGAGTGGAAATTTGAACTTTGTTAGGTTGTGGTGGGAAATTTGAACCGGAAGTGTTAAGTCTTTGTGAGGAATACAAGTGTCTTTTAAGATGAAAGTGCCTAAAGGTAATAGGCTCAGAATTCGAAGTAACAGGTCTGGAAGGTCTGGATTTTAAAGCTTGGTGAATAAATGGTCACCGTCGTTGATTTGCTTTTTCAAAAAATATTACCATCAAATCCCGGTAGTTGGGTGAGGTATTCTCAAAAGTTTAAAAGCCGGGGGGGGGAGGGGTTTATCGGGGAAGGATGTTAAAACTTTGATTGGTAGACGCATAATAGCAATCTAGAATGCAGCGAATCAAAATCAATCAAACCAAAGATTTTAGTTCGTTAGGGAGGGGTCTTTCCCTCTTGTCCAGCTGAGTGTTGCTCTACAGTGCATGCAGCTATATAATCAAATCTTTTTAGGAATTTCCTAACAGTGAAGACAATCCCACGATGATAATCAAAGATCTCAAGAAAACACATTCTTTTTTCTTCAAAGAAATTGTCTCAAAGAGCGCTATAAAATCAGCTCAGTCGAACATTTAGCTACTTATATTATCAGGTTGAACTGTCGATCGCATCTGTGTAAGCATTCCAAGTTGACAGAGAATGATTTTCTTCAACGCTTGTCTGTTTCGAGACAGTCTCCAAGCAAACGCAAAAGGATCCAGAGCGCACTTAATGAACATTAGATTGAGACAAACTCTTTGAAAAATGACGATTGCCTTGTACCGCTGACATAGATCACAATATTCCATCAGGTAGTATGAAATTGTAGCAAAAACTGCCGGAATGGTAGAAAATATAACAAAAATGAGCAACACTCTGCAAAATTTATTCTGGAGGGCAACTATTTTATCGACTTCGTCCGTATTGGCGCGCCCTGGATTGTTGACGGCTCTTCGCAGATTCAAGGATCTCTTGGTCTGATCATGAAAAGCGAAGTACAACAAGATGTAAGAAACAACAAGCAGGGTTGAGTTAACAGTTGAGTTGAGATATAGGTCCACCTTGAAAACAATTTCCATGGACACGTTTGCGTGAGGAAGTATTGAAAATATAGAAGCGTTTATTGATGTGACGGCGATGAGAACTTGAGCGCGTTGCATAGTTATCCAGCTTTTGTATTTCGTTGGTCGAAAAACAGCGATAAAGTAATCGACAGCTAGAGCGAAAACCATTCCGAAGGAAACGTTAAGCGTAAGCAAAGAGAATGAAGATCCAACTTTTGCGAGGTTTGGCAAATTAGGTTTTCCGAAGTAATCATTGTACTCGAGGGTTGCAAAAATTGGCGCAACAATGAGCCCGGTGAAAACATTCGCCACTGACATCGCAATGAGAAACGAGGACGAAGGAGCACGAAACGCTCTCAGTGGGTCCACGTAAGCTGTTAAAACTAAAAATCCATTGCTGACTACTGTTATGGGAGCTAATATTATTTTGAACACTGCAAAAACTAACAGCTCTGGTTGCATCGAAGATCCGGTGGTAGTATTCAAGTGATCGGTCAAGTTTGAAAAACTCATCATTGTAGCCGTAGAAAACGATGTTGAAGCTTTTTGACTACTTAGGAAATGTGGTAAAAAATTGATTCTAAGAAACCCTTTTAATATGAAAATCTGTCCTTAAAAGCAAATAAAGCTGGCCCCATTCACTGCAATAAACCGAAGTCGTGTCAGTTAATGTTTATTGAAGTGTCAGCCGATAGTTTGAATGCGTATTAAAAAAAGCGACCTGAAGTAGAAATAGCTTCATTGGCGGAAAGGCCTTTGACAGATATTAGTCAGCTCAAAAAAAGAAATTGTAAGCAAATAGTGACAGTCACATTATTTCAATTATATAACTTCTTTTGTGCAGGGTAATACTTCCGCAGAATAATGATAAATGCGGAACAATCAGAAAAGAACAAAAAAACAGGAATGTAATTTCGTTGAAGGTGGATTGTAGAATTTGTGAAGAGTAAATTTTAAGCTATCCTTGACGTCAATAATTCTTATGTTCAAACAGTTGCCTAAACCTGTATTTAGAATTTTTAAGGCATAAAGGAAAAATCAAAACAAAGTTTGCTTTCATTGTGCCATCGCAGTTTTTTTTTTTCTTCCCAAGCTGGAGAGAAACAGCAATGGAAAGTATGTGCCTTGCAGTGGATAGTGTTCGCGTGAAAATGGACCGTGCGTGCGTGCAAATGGACAGCTCTTGCGTGACAATGAAATAAATGGCCACTCTCGCTCCACTGAATTGTCACACATCCTGCGAGAAGTATTTAAAAAAAAGAAGAGAAAAGTCGATTCGTAGTTTCCTGTCGACTCTAATTTAAGGTTAAATCAAATTGAGAATAGCACTCAATTAAAAAAGAAAAAAACACTCCAAAATTTTTGAAAGCTCTCTGTCAAATGTACTCGATGCTTAGTCACCACAGGCCGGATTTTTTTTTGGGATCCATTGCTCACCTAAATATTGCGGGAGATTTTTCTGAATGGAAAAACATGTAATTTTTCTAATCATGTAATCTCCTCAAGGCAAAGGAAAATCTCCTTCCCCGAGGAAATTATAATTGTTCGCTGCCGCAAATTATCAATTGACCTCTGCAGCTTAATTTGTTGTCATTCGTTTCTCATGTGAAAATCTTTTTAATTGTGTTGGAACTATTTCGCTGTGATTTCATTGGTTATAAAAACAAAATATATAACATAGTGGAAGGTAGGATGAGCCGAAGGAAATCCCTTTAAATCTATGATATGTATTTTTTCGGTATTCAAGTTTCGGCTAGGGTATTTTTCTAGGCTACGGGCGCTAGTTAATTAGGCGAAAGGCTTTTCATTTCAGAAATGTTTTTTAAGCAAATAGTCGACCTCATGTTGACAAATCTACATTAGCAAAGTGATTAGTTTTATTCGCAAGGTTCCGTAAAATATATTTGGCATGAAAAAGCAGGATTTTATTCCTTATAATATTAAAAACGAAACCAATTTGTTTTCGAGATATCTAGAGCAATCTAAACCACCTTTGGATTAAGAGAAAATCGTTCATGCGTAAAGTAAAGTTAATGACAACATTTCAAATATATGCTAATGATAGCATCAGGGAGTCTATCAACAGCACCTTCGTTTGTTGTATGTGTCACGAGTTTTTCAGTACTTGCAATCATCATAACAGTACCAGATTTTAACAATTATTATCGCTTAAAAAACCACATATACACCTGAAATAATTGTACTCGTCAAACAGAATCTACAAACGCGTTCGCATGCAAGGAAGTTAAATTCCTTATTCGAACTTCTTCTTTGCAAATTAAACTGATACTTCCTATTTGTATGGAAACGACTTAAAAAAAAGTTCTGCTGCTATAGCAGATACAAGTCCACGTCCAGTAAACATGTACAAGTTCTGCTAAAATAGAGCGCATTTCGATTCTGTGTCCTATAACCGAAACCAACGTAATCACATCAACCAATCACAACAGAGCTTTATATCACATGGAACCAATGAGAACTCAAACTGCATACAATCGTCTCTTTTGTCCAACCTCTTATAATTCCGGTTTGCAACCATGTGCAAACCCGGAGATTATCTACAGGACATAAATTTTAACCTGTGTTTGCTCGCCGCTAGAATACGAGCTCGCTGACACACAAGAAAGAGCAGCGGTATGAAACATTTCATGAAAGGCATGTGGAAATTCGTAACTGTAACCTGACACCCTTTGAAAACTCCCAGCCGCGCCCCCGAACCATATGAGCAATTTATTCCTGTTATAATTGCCGAGAGTATTTTTGAGAGCCGTTTTGGGGGTAGAAAGACCTGAAGAGCTAATTTGGGAATTAGCAATTATCTTTGGATGAGTTGGGCTACAAGGGCCTAATTTTGTCTCTGTTGTTGTTTTCTAGAGTTTTTTACTTTTTATGTTTATTGATCATGAGCACTAGCTCGCGGATCCATACGAGGCGATTATCTGCTTGCTTTTCGACGTCTTCCTTCTCGTTTTAGATCACTATGATAAACACAGCTAACAGTAAACAAATAAAGAAACTGCTTCTTTCAGTCATGTGGGCGGCGCTTGGATCAATGGACATGGAGTTACTGGTTTCAATGATTCGTCTGTTTAAAATTATGTTCCAAATAAAATAAATCAGTTTTTCTTGTCACAATTTAACATAATTTGCGCAGTTAAGGCTTCAAAGTGTAGGTTAGTTTATTACTCAATGATCACTTTTACAATAAAGAGATAAATTTCGTGACAGAAGATGCAAAAACTTTAAATAAATTGTAACAAATATTTTTCGCTTCAACTGCATTCAATTTTTCTGTAACAAAGGATGAGCGTAAGTACGGCTAACATATGTATGGATTTTTTTAATCAGAATCTAAAAGAGATGAAACATACCATTAATAGTAAAAAGCGTTTTCATTCCACCGACAATGTGATCGTTCACGTGACAATGAAGCAACCAGACCCCTACACTGTCTGAGATCATCTCCACGGTTGCAAAGACTGCCGGGAAGAGATCGTAAACGTCTTCGCGGTGATAGCCGACATGTTTCTGTTCGTAAATAAGTGAATTAAAAAATGTTTGTGTAAAGAAAAATTTCCTCAGTGAGCATCCTCTTCAAAAATATACTTGCTAATTGATGAACCCGGAGACTTTGAGACAAAGGCTAAATTTGCTTAATAAGACAAACGCGTTTCAACAGGGACATTTAGCACCGCGTTTACCTGAATCGTGAATGGCAATAGCAACCACGTGATCACAATTTTCCCTCCATATTTTCACCGCGTTTGCCGGTTGCACTTTGCCGTTTATATGTGAAAGTAAGCTCTCTCGCGTTTGCCGTGAACGTAAGATTTTCTCCCCTTTTTTTCTCACAGAGTAGAAATTAATTGTCGGAAAAGTACACCAAAACTATCCCCTGTAAGTCATAGAGATGAAGTTTCATGTTGAAAATCCTTCAAGCTAAAGTAGTAAGGTTCACGCTATTTCACGTGAAACGTGAAAGGGCAAGATGAAGTTTAAACTGCAACACTGTTGTGATTTTGGTTTTCGTCAGTTGCCGTAAACATTAAATTCACTTTTACTAACCATGTCAGGATTTTATTTAAACAAGTGTACAGCTGATTTCTATCACCTTTAGACCACGAAATTATAGTTATTTTTCTATTTTTCACTGTCACTCACACATAGAAATGTTTGACCATGGAAATGGACTGTTGGCATTGCATTGTCGATTTTGTCAACCGGTGATGTATCATCATCATAATTTGAGCCCTTGTTTCTTTTCCTTCGCGGAAAAAGGGTTAATGAACGAGGAAGTTTAAACATTTATCCTGTCTAATTTTTCAGATACCCTAAAATTATCTTGCCACAGAAAACCACAGAAAAAAAATTGTATCCGTTAAGACTAGAACCCAGGACTTTTCCAACTGGAATTCAGCGTGCTGAAACTTCGGCTATCGCGTCTCCCTCAATTAATTTATTACAAGCCACTGTTTTCACTTACGTGTAATACAGTCCATGTGTATGCACGATAATCTTTCTGCTGGCCATATTCTCAAAGGTCACCTCGATTGTGTCTCCAATCTCAGCGTGTAACATGGGACCCAGTACCCCGAGATGCTTCTCAGCCTCGGTCCTCGTTTTCCGTCGGACTCACTGGTGTACTCGCGGCACAAAACTTTCTTGTATTTGCAGCCAGTTCGATCGAGGCCGTTGAGAGTGAATGTTGCAGCTTCTCTACGGAAAAAAAGGAAGTTAAATCAGATAGCGAGCTAGGAGTTATATAAAACTGAAACATAAAAACCAACACTCATTTTCATTTTCAAACTTTTCATTGTGTTTAACCCCTTAAATCCATAGATTCGACTGATAGGTCCTCTTTTGAGCATCAATACATTACGGGGTGTTACATGTGGATATTGGCACCCACTAAGTGATAACTATGTCTATTCCCATCACCCAAATGGTTGTGGATGCATTTAAATTGCGAGGAAGAAGAGACATGTTAGTCGATTTGGGAGGTAAAGAGTTGAAACGCCGGATAAATTATTAAAGCACGCGTCATAGGGTAAAATATCAATTTTTTTAGCTGTTTGTTGCCATACAAAAAACTCTATAAGGAACAGAAGTCATGGATCAAATGTCAGTATCTGATTTACCGCACAGCTTCCCTCCTCTAACCCACAAACAGTCAACCGATGACAAGTTAGGGGTAAAGTTGGGATAGGGTAGGAGTAGGCGTATAAACAATAGTATTAATAGCATTAATTTTCGTGTTTAAAAACAAAACAAAACATAAATGAGGAGAAAAAGAAATAGACAAAAACCAAACAAAACAGAACTGATGAAAAATATATCCAAACTGGCATAACTGTCAAAAATGTATACAAATCATGGTGTCAGCGTGACTTTAATCATGCTGAGGCCCGACACGCAAGTTTCATCGCGGCTCGTCATTGCCAAATCCGATCATCGCAGTGAAGGAAGCCTCAGAAATTACAACGTCCTTCCTTCGAGTGAAAGTCTAAGAGCTTGCTCCAATATTCTTTCCGAAGCGTTGAGAGGAAGGGTACGGAATTCACAGCAGCCAAATCATCCTTACCTCGTCACCTCGAGCAAAACACAGCGCCTCGGGAAGTTGTTATCATGTTAAAGAAATTGCAGGTTTTCATGAGCCACAATCCAGTCGGATTTCACCGCACATTTAACTTTAAGATCCTTAATTTAGACTGAAAGACTACGAGCAAGTGTTAAATTCGAACTACTGAACTATTTCAGTTTGTGAACCTTGACTGTTTAAAATTTTGACGGCTTTCGTCTTATTTAACCAATCAAATTATTCTATCAAGTATTCTGATAAGCTTATTGTAGCGTGCTTTACGAAAGTACAGATGTGTGCTCACACCACCTCATGAGATAAAACTTTGTATCTTTTTATATATCGATTTATTTACTCCAGATGACATTACAATATTCTGTTAAAGCAATTGTTTAATTTTCCTTATCTAGTATTATGATAATGAAAACAATCATAACTTAGCTTATCCAACTATTTGTTTTTCTTATGGATACAACTGTTGCTCTCAATTTCTCCTGATGGTTTTTTTAAAATATTTAAAAACAATTTCACTTAAATTTTTCTCACCTCGTGTTAAGATAAAATGAAAGCAAAACCAAGGTCATAATTTTGAAATTGGTTCAAACATCTTAAGCGAAAAAAAAAAAATTGAACTACACTAAATTTTAAAAACCAGGAACAAAACGAGACAAAAAAAATGCTTTTCTAGGTTTCTCATCTTAAGAGTTTTCCATCGCTGATCAGTGTTCAGCTGAATATATTATATCCATGATTCCACTCCACAGATGACAGCTCTTGGACACACATAACGGAATCAGAACAGGTTGATTTTATCCACGATCAGAGCTGGAAGGAACAGCAGCGTCAATGGACAGCTGACAGACAATCTACCCTGTCCTGGTACGATAATAAAAAAAAAAAATTTAAAAGAAAAATTTGTTAATCATTTATTTTCACAGCTTGTTGAAAAAGTAAAAAAGTTAATTCGATTCTCTCTCTGTCAAAATGAAAAAAAGGACCCTGGAGCTGTGTTGGCGGCAAGCGGTGATGAAACATTGATAACTAGGAGGTGTACTTTACATCCCAACGAGTTTTGAGAATTTCACCTTGTGAAGGATTAAAATGCATGTTAAAAGAGCTTCTGTTCCGCGAAAGACACACCTAACACACCGTGTTGCATTGCTACAACGTACCTGCTTTAAAGGAAGCCTTGAATCCCTTATACACTGTGGTGGAGTTTACATTGCTTTTGAACTGAACCCAAACCATGTTCCCTTGACTCTGTATCGAACTCGGTTTTGTATTTCCACACAGGTGATTGGTCAGAATTGGTCCGTAATAGCCAGAAATTACACTAGGATTACCAGCCGAGATGGATGCTTCACGGAACTCAACATAATCATTTCTGCAGTCTTTACTATCCTCCAGATCAAACTTGTCGAAGTCTATCTGGACCTGCTGTCCTTCAGGAACAATTAAAAACCACTGCTCTTTGTAATTTGAAGGGTAATTCTGGATGCCAGCCTTTGGTGTGCCAAACGTAATGGTTTCGCCGTCGGATGCATTCAGATAGTTTACCTCGCCTTCTGTAAGGTAAATGTAGTTCTTTTACTTCTTAAGGGGAAAATTGTCTGCATAACCATACCAAGTCCTCCCTTATTTGACCTATTTCTCTAGGACCATACCGTTCTTGAACGTCTTATGTTAAATATATCTGTAGTGAACAAAGTACTGAGCGATCCTCGCAGTTATGAACACTACTTAACTAGTAGTTGAAATTAGGCCTGAAAAAAATTCAGGCCCGTACTGGATTTGAACTCATGACCTTTGCGATACTGGTGCAGCGCTCTACAAACTGAGCTAACAAGCCAACTAGGAGCTGGTCATTAGGTTGGCTCCAAATAAATCCTCCAAGTGGTGAATACATGATTGTAAAAATATGAAAATTATATATGTGCGCTGCGGTTGAAAAACTGTAATTGTTGACATGTTTAAAATAATGTAATCTTTTAGCGTTTTTATAGTTGGAAAAATGTAATGACATGTTATGTGACTTAAGTTTTCAGGGAGTACTGTGGCTACGGAACAAACGGAAGGTGCTAATGGTCCGTATCGATCCCGTTGCAATCTAAAAAGCCCCTCGTAGTTTAATTTTCTGCGTTGGTTTTTACCTTTTTTTCCTTTTTTTAAGCTCTTCAGAACAGAAACACTTTTGGTCGTACAAAGGTTCTTGGCATTTCAAAGAGGTGTCGTCCGTCGCGTTACCTCATTACCCCCCGATAATCAAGAGTGGAGCCTCGGTTTCGTTTGTTGGACTCAGTTTGCATTACTTACGCCCGATCGTAATGAAAGTGGACTATGAATTTGGGTTAAGAGGTTTTCGCCGCTGCTCTTTCTGATCCAACTCCATAAACTTTTGTTTTAGTTCAGTTCACTTCCCTTTTCCTATCAACTGATCAAGTTTCTCACGATTCAGTCTCAATCTTTGGATGTGAGTGAAAAATATACGTTTAGCGCATTAAGCTTTTCCCTAATGGTAAATCGCCTGCATTAAATCAACGAAAAAAGGAGCAACAGTTTTTGCGTGGTTTCACTTTCCGTTTGGTCTTTCCTCTCTTCTGATGAGTAATGGAATCTTTTTCAGATCAAGAGATACAAAGGTCAATTAGTTGTCCCTTTGCATATCTCGACAACCTGAGCGTCGACCTCATGCATTCACCCGTTAATGTTGCCATTATTTTAAGAATCAACCCTAGACCTTCCTTTTCCAATAATATGGTTTGTTTGTTGGCTCGTCCATTTGACGGACGGTGTTTTTTTTCTTTTTGTTTGATTGTTTGTGTGCTTATTTCTTACCATGGCTAGAGAAAGCGATAAAGTTTAGGTTAAATCCTTTGTAATGTGCAGAGTCGTCCGACACAAACCGAAAGTAGACGGTCGATCCAACTGTTTGCGGTGATCCAAGACTCCCAATCATGGGGAGAAGGTACTCGTGTAAGTAGTTGTAACTGTAACGTCCACAGTATTTAGTTTCCAATTGCAAATTACTTTCAGAGGAGCTATACTGAACAAAGTCGCATTCACAGCTAGAGCACATCTCAATGTCCAAGCTACGAAAAGAAATAATTCCCATCGAATCACAGTTCTGTTTTCACCTAGAAACAAAGCTACTCGAAAGAAGAACCAAAATAAATATACTATAGGGGTTTGTGATTCATGTGCTACAGGTGTTTTTGATCCAACAAAGTCTAATCGAGGCAAGTTTTTGTCCATGTTTGTCTTTTTTTTTTGGGAAGCTCTTTTGTAGGGGAGATCATGATTAAAATGCCGATCACTATTAGGATTATTAAAATTGTCATCGGTATCTACATTTCAAACTAAAACATCACAGGTACCCTGCTGTTAACTAAGCCACAGGTAGGTACCCCACGTGAGTTGTTAAGGTTATCTCTGAGTAACCCCTCTACGTACCTCTCGTGAGTAGTTAAATTGTCGAAAAAATTTTCTTTTTTGGTGTCTTAAGCAGAATCAGCGCTAAACAGCTGGAAGTTCATTTCAGTGTTGCTTAATTCATGTTTGCTTTTTACCGAGATTATGTTTTTTTATTAACATGTAACGTACGAGTTTAAACACAGATAATTAGAAATTGTTTTTCGCCGCCTCCAATCATGTTTTGTAGTCCAGGAATCAGGTGCTTCCTCTCAGAACTGTTCAAAAAAGGCCATTTTTCAGGTGGTTTTTTTTCTGCCGTTACGATGTTTGTTAAGAAAATAATTAGTGGTAGCATAAAATGAAGTCACAACTTTAGCTCTGAGCCTCAGAGTTGACATGTTATTGAAAGATGCAAAAAATGAAAAACGTACCTGAAGAAACGAAATAAAATACCAGCGTAAGTGTCGGGAACCGTAATGCTCCAACATTTAGTCTCATTCTTGCCATAAGTTCCTGACTCAGGGTACTTGAGGCTACCGCTGGAGGCTGTGATGTTTGTCATACCATTGGGACACGCTTTAGTGAAGACCAAAGGTACATTCATATATTGACTACATTTCTTCCCCAAGTTGAGGAGACAAATCCCTTATATAGGTGAATATTATTTTATCGTATACGATTTGGAATATTCATGTCGAGATATGTAAGATGGAACATTACCACTCAATTTCGTTCTTGTTAATGTTACGTTAAAGTGCAATGTTAGTTAGTAATAGACTTACTTGAGCCACTTGCTCCGTTTCCAATGAAGAGCGCCAGAACTAAAACGAGATTAGATGATTTTAAAAGTAGAGAACAACGAAAACCCAACTTGCCCGGGCAATTATGAAGCCATTATATCTTTATCGGAAACGTTGCCACGACAACTTGTTCTGCTCACCCTTGTACCCTTATGTCATAAATGTTTTCCTTACCTTATCATGTAAAATAAACACCCTTTTTGCTCGAGATCAATGGCGCAAAAGTTTGAAGAATTTCTTCATTGTCAACTAGACACAAAGGGTTCATCCAATTTGAATCAACCATATTTCGAGATACCCTGCTTAGGGGTGCTTGCTGCCGGTCCATTTGAATGGCAATTTATCTCATACAGCCCCTCAGCCCCTCCCTTCCACTCTACAACCTCCCCCCCCCTCCCCTCCCGCCATTGCATTTTACAGTTCGTTTGGTAGAAAGTGCTGGGACGCATTCACACTCCCAGACACTGTGAGAGCAAAGTGTCTTACGCAAGAGTACAAAACAATAACCTAACCAAAGCTTGACCTAACCTAACTTGCAGTCTTGGCCATGGCGTTTTTAACGTCTTACTTGAGCAGAAAAAGTTTCGAAAACAAAGCCGTTCAATATGAGCTTAATTGCTGACAGAAACATTATGTATCGGAAATGTTACTATTGCTCACCAAAATTGTACGGTTTTTGCTGAATCCGTGGATGCTAGTTGGTTTATCAATTACTTTCCCACTCATTAATTTAATCATTTCCGAAGTAAAATCTTAGTCATTTTAACTTTTTAACGCTGGTGCACACGAGAGAGCAAGTTTATGCGACTCTCTAGAATCAAACAGTATGATCTTTTCTTTCTCCGACAGTATAAATACAAGAGTCGACACCAGAAGGCCGCCAAAGTTTCCATCCAACCGTGGAATGGCGATAAATTCCTCTTTGTTCATTCAAAACTCTGTTTACATATAGGAAGCAAAATTTGAATATAGAGTTTATGTGTAAGTGTAAATATTACTAATTTTGCGTTAAATTTTGATTGTTCACAACATGGAATATGTGTGAAAATACGTCTCTACCGAATCACGTCGATAATGGAATCCAGAATTCGGCTCTAAAAAATAAAAGTAATAATAAGAAAAAAATAAACCACACAATACACAACCAAAGTGCAAAGAATCACTTGTCGTTATGAAAAAAATATTTATCAAGGCGGTCCAGTAACAAACACACGCAGAAGCAAATATGCCTATGTGCCATGCCTGATTAAACGCGAACGACACCAAATGTTTAAACTCAGGCTTTCTCATACGAAAAACTCGGACTCACACAAACCTCAGAGGCAATATGTTCCTGAACAAGAACAGAAAGACCCCAAACAATTAAACTTAGGCATCTAATGGAAACTCAGAGCAATGAGGTTAAATTTTAGAATAATTTTTTTCAACGACCATGGCGTGGAATCTTTCAACCTCTAAGTAGAGGTTCCATCTACCCAAATACTATTCTAAAAGCCACAGAGCCCGAGCGCAAAGAATCTCTGGTCGTTATCAAGTGATTGAGTCGCCTTAGCTACAAACACTTACAGATGCAGACGTGTCAACATGTTAGGTGAAAACGAAACCACACTCTAAGTTGTGTATTTCAGCTCGATGTTTGAAAACAACATTCGGTTTAGGAAACCATTTGACTTCAAATCAGAAAAAATTACATTGTGAAAGAGCTGGAAATTGAAAATATTTTCCAATTAAACAAAGACAGTCTCTACAGTAACTAGCCAAATTAGAAAGCTTTCCGTAATGTAGGTAAGGTTAGGATTGAATTGAATGCTACAGGCTAAGATGAAAAATATCAGAGACCCAATGATGATTTTAAAAGATTTGACCATCAATTTTTGTATTCAGAATGAGGTTTGTTAAATAAAAAAATTAAATGTCTTCACGACATTCATTGTGCAGACTGCAACTTCTGTTTACACAACTAACAGTTTCTTACCGAGAACAGTTAGAGCCAAAATGAATAGACAGAATAGATGTCGTCCGATCATTCTTGTCCGATCAATTTTCGTCGATAAGAGCGAAGGGCTGCTGTTTCATCCAAACAGAGAGTACACGCTGCTGGCGAAGGCGAGCTCAGACAGCTTTTTCAAGTCGTTGAGATCGTTGCTAATTGAACAACATGCAAAATGATTGAAATAACCCGTGTAAAACCAATAATGAAACTGGTGTTTTTAATTCAAATTTGGTTTGACATGGCTTCATTTGAGCAGCAAATAAATGCTCGTTTCACTTAAAAAAGTTGAAAAATGTAATTGACCATGATTTATCCATGTTACATACTACTGACTTACTCCAATGGCGTGATCGTAGAAAATTAATTGAAAAGAAGGAAATGAACAGATCAGAACAGGTCACCTACTTGAACAAATAAAAATGATTCGATCTTTTCCGGTTAAATTCTTGTTCTCCCTTCGAACTCAGTGTACTGTTCATGGAGACGTTGAGGATTTACCTCACCACTTACCTCTGAATATTTTGCGAATGGTTCAAACAAAACTAAAATCAAGTTACCGAATGCCAACAGCCAATCAAAAACAGTGGAAACAGGGAGCCTAACAGAACGCGGAGCCGGGGAGGAGGAGGGGGGGGGGGGTTGGGCTAACGTATTCCAATAACTTCCAGACGGGGAGCTTATCGAAGATTGGGAGTTTAAAGGAGCTGAAAAGGAGCTTAACAAAAACACAGTGAAAGCCAAATTACAGTTTTAACTCTGAACTCTCGAGTTGCTTAAATGAATACTTTATAAAAATGCAGCTCTTTAGTTGAGAAACCAAAACCATCCTAAGCCTTTAAAGCGAGTTTGTTTTGAGCTTGAACGCCACCTGACACATGTGGGGAAGGAAGGCACATTGTGACAGCTGAAAGAGCTGTATCATACATTTTGCATCATCATATTGCACTGTGGGTTAACTTTTAGCTTTTGTTTTGGGGGAGAGGAAAGAAGGAGGACTTAGGGGGGGATGGAAGAGCGTTTCAATAATCCGAAACCCTAGCCGAGAGGGTGGGGAGTGGGGAGTTCTTAGAGGCTTGGTGCTCAATAGAACACATTTACATCGAAGAGTACCTTGGGCATTGAGATGAAAACATTTAGCCTCCTACACAGTGTAAGATGAAACGGGGTGAAACCAATTAAGAGCCGTTATAAGCTCCTGGTGACTGAAACACAGTCTGAAAGAAACTTCTGTCTCTGACTCAGTCTGTGGTTCTATGAGAAGAGATAATAAAAAAAATTGAAACGTTTTATTCGATCACTGGTGTGATTACCACATAAGGATCACTTGGCTTCTCAAGTATAAGATTTGATAAGATTTGAACTAAGTCACAAAATATAGATCAGGGCAACTTTTACTTTCAAAGGAAATTGGATCCTAAATTTGGAAGTTAAAAAATAATATGTTTTAGACGAAACTGTTCCTTTTAATCAATATGCATGCTACTAATACTTATTAAAGTTATCCACAAATAAAGAAAGAGTTGGAGTAGATCATAAATAGTGGCAAGATTATCTCATAATTTTCTTTGCCAGGCCTTTCTTTTTTTTTTGGCCATTGCGTCTGTCTTTAAGACAAGGGTCTCCCCAAAATTAATATCTTTCCAACATCCTTTAATGGGTGATGACAGTCGCTCAGTATTTAATTTATTTTCCATCCTAGCTCATATGTATCTCCTTGTAAAATTGTCCAGAGAAAAAGGATTAAGCCAGAATTTTTTAGAACCCTTATCTTCTTGTGCACCACATTCATCGAGATTTTCAGGTGATCATATGACAAGTTGCTGCAAAGAGCAAATAATCTTTTCTTGTCAATGATTTCAACGGAACCATTTAAAGTTCTTCTTTGCTTAAATAATCGGATGTTTATTACACATAAAGAGGTTTCTGGATTATTTGGAAAAACTTGAGACGTTACCAAACTGGAAATCTATAATCTATGAAAACATCTTCGTGATGTTTTGTACCTGGTAGATCAATTATTTTGGTAAGAAAACCGAATAATTAGCATTGATAATGATTTGACTGTTGTTTTTAGAGACCTGTCGCCACAAATACTGTGCAGATTTTTATGGAGTACTTTTTAACTCCCACAAATGATTTTTTCCAAAGAAATCTCTCTAACTTAATTTTAATTGTTAATTCTATATTTAGAGAAAGTTTCGAGATAATTGGAGAGATTTTTGGATTAATGAGAATTTTTTTAAGGTGAATTTCCATAAGGTCCTTCAAGACAATACTACATGGTGCTTGTGGAAAGGCCTGTTGTTTAAAAACCACTATAGTCCATCTTATTTTTGAAGAAAATCCTGAGTTGCTCTTTTTTCAAATTAGAACTCTATGACCTGAGGAAAAAAGATAACATCACTTAAATGTCATCAATATTTCAACTGTTTTCTCACCTGCAAACCTCATTAGAGGTTGTCTAATATTAAAATGACAACATTGATAATACAGCTTAAGCTGTTGATATGACTGGTTTTTGAGTAAAGATTTAATTCATACGTACATTTGTCACTAACGTGATGCAGAGAAAATAAAAAATGAAGTTCCCAACAGGACGAAATTTGAACCTCGGATCTACGGATTTCGTTGTCCAAAACGTCTTGTGTAAGAAAGAGATTCTTTCCAGCAGAGCTTTACGATCGTCCTATTCAAATTTAAATACATCGTAAATTTCTATACATGGAAAATGAATTAAAATGGTTTATTATTATTAGATTCTTAGTAAAA